TCCCACTCTCGAAGTACCTCATAGAACACATCCCTAAAAGATATGCAAGCTTGATCAGCTGAATCCCAGTTGCCTTTCACCCACTTCCCATAGCACTTTCCCTTGCTTGGAAGGTTTACGATAGGCCTACCCACAGCCAATCCTTAACCTCCATAGTTCTCTACATGATGGTATGTTACAGACCCAGCAGCAGCACATCATAGGCATCTGTGGACAGGGAAAGTTGACCCTAAGATGGTTGGCTAAGCTCAGGGATTCAGGTCTGTGGACATGAAACAGAATGAAGCCAACAGGCTTTATGATGACTGTCAGTAAAGGCCTGACAGTCCTAACCCACCACTTTTAGTACCTAAGTCCTAATTCTATGACAGAAACATGGCTGTCTATTCCCTCCTCAATAAGTCCCCTTTCTTTTCACCTCTGTTTTTTAAAAGTATGAAAGGCTCGATCACTGGAGAAGTTGGCCCGATTATCAGTTTCTGGCTGAAAGGAGACAGCTTGAGCAGAGGGTGGTATCACCAGAGAGACCTAAAATATGGCAACAACATTAGGAAATAAGAATCATATTACAAGACTTTACTCCTGCTGGGCGGTGATGGCCCACGCCTTTAATCCCAGCACTTGGGAGGCAGAGGCAGGAGGATCTCTGTGAGTTCAAGGCCATCCTGGTCTACAGAGTGAGATCCAGGAAAGGCGCCAAAGCTACATAGAGAAACCCTGTCTTGAAAAAACAGAAAAAAACAAAAACAAAAAAACTTTACTCCTTATTCTTGTCCAGAGTCAGCCCACGTGACAGCACCATGAAGACTGTCTGAATTTACAAAATGTCTAGGCTACTAGGTACCAAAGTGGGGGTGACTACCTTGGCAACACTGCCTTCATAAGCAGCTCGAAGGCGGCCCTGTAGAGCTGGGGAGAAGCACAGCAGCCGCTCATTCTCAGCTAGCAGCTTCAAGGTCCCTCTGTCCAGGTAGGACAGAACCCTGCAAAGACAGGAGCATATATGACGGACTGGAACCCAGGCTGCAAGCACAAAGCACATCTCAAGCACAAGGCGGTGAGTGTTTAAACCTAAGTATGTACGGCAAGGTGACAGACTAAGGATTAAGATGAGGAAGGTAAAGGGTGAAGAATGAGACCTCATGGAGCCGAGATCAAAACAGCAAGCTAGGAACATTAGCCATAAACATAAAAGTCAGCCGCCACGTCTAATTATTATTACTATTATTTGTGGTATACAGGGCTCTCCACATGGCTGGCAAGTGCTCCACTGATCTATACTCTTAGGCCCTTTTGTATTTAGTATTTGGGACATCTCACTAAGTTTCTACAGCCTGGGCAGGTCTTTAAACTTGTAGTCCTTGCTTGGCACCAGACCCAGCTATTTAATTGGTTTAGGGGAGAAACTCATAGCCTTGACACAAAATTAATGTTGGAAGTGCCTTCAGTCCCAGCCCTTGAGAGGCAGAGGCTGGCAAATCTATGCAGGTTCAAGGCCAGCCAAGGGCTACATAGTAAGACCCTTGTCTCAGAAGAATCAACCAACCAACCAACCAACCAATAAGGTGAAAAAGGTCTAGGGGGGACATTGTATCTGTGTTAAGCACAATCATGCATCCCAAATGGCTAGAAGCAGACAGATAATGAGACTAAGCATGATGCCTCGGAAAGGAAAACTCACTGAAACTGATGCTCTAAAACCTGCACCGCAAAGAAGACACAGTCATGGATGCTCTGAAACAGGGGAGTCTCCAGCGGATCTAGGACAGTAACAAATGGTTAGTAAGAACCATCCCATCTGCAAACTTCATTTCTTAAAATGAGACTTGCTTACTAACCTAGGGCACCCTGATTTGATTCAAGGTCACTAGCCTTGGTGGCCACCATTCTCCGGGCAGTAAGGAGCTGAAGGACGAAGAAGAGCTCCAAAAAAAGGTTTGGTACCAGGTTCTCTGGATATTAAAAAACAAAAGCAAAACCATAACATTGGGCACCACTGACAACCAAGGCTTTTTGTGGCCCATCCAGTCTCTTAGCCTGTAGTTGGCGAGCATATCCACTGCAGCTCCCTTTGCTCTCACTCACCAGCAATGCACGAAGAGTAGATAAGCGCTACCAGCTCCAGGCGCTGTCGAGAAGACACTCTGGCTGGGTCAGCAGGTTCTGCTGTGAGACCTCCTGTCCGACTGGGGACAGGAGACCCCAATTCTGGGATGGGACAGGCTGGGGTAGGTGACTGCTGCAGCTGCTTGGAGCTATGCGAACAGAGAGATGTCATGATTACTCAGCCTGGCTTTCCAGTGACATTCACACTCAGGTTCTGCCAAGAAGACATCAAGAGCCCAGGAAGCAAACCCAGAATCCCCACGGGAGAAATCGAGTTCAGGAAAAAATCCCTGTAAATCCCGCACAAGGAGGAAGCTGACAGACATCCCAGGTGGCGGCAAAGCCATACCGCGCCTTCCTGAGCATCTCCCGCTCCTCTTGCAGACTTCTGCACCCTGGGGGAGGGCCAAGGCCCCAAGGGCTAGTGTCCAGGGCTGAGGGTTGGGAACTGGGGACACAGCTGATTGGGGGTGAGGTGAAGCAGGTCTTGGGCTTGGAAAGTGATCGCTCTTCGCTCACCGGAGTTGGGTTGATCCTTCGAGAAGGCTTCGTCCTGCTGGGAGTAGTCACAGGTTTTTCTCAAATTTCTATCTTCAAGCATCACTCCAAACCACAACAGCTGGGCCCCTTTCAACCCCCCACCCCCCACCCCTTGTACTGTGGTTTCTTCACCATCAGCCTTCTAACCATCGCGGGCCCTACTGTGGGGGGCCCAGGCCTGCTTTAGCGAATGTCTTCCGATAGGGCCAGTTCTCACCCTGCAGGGCCGGGAGGAACGGTGCCTACGGGAGGGAACTCCTCCAAGTTGCTGAGGTTTGGCGGATCCGAGAGCGAGAGTCTGGGGCTGCCGGGGCTGCCTGAGCCCCTAGGCTTCCGGCCTCCGGCCCAGGGCGGGCTCTCTCCGCTGGTCCCCTCCTCCGGGCCCCCGGGGCCGCGACCTCCTCGTTCGCGGGACTGCCCCGGCCCCGGCCCCGGCCCCCGCCTGCGGCCCGCACGGCGGGCCAGGGGTGCCTCAGCAGCGGCGCTGAGGGGCTCGGCCGCAGGGAAAAGCTGGCTGCGCGCCCCACGGCCACCCCGTGGCGGGGCCCCGGGCCTCGCTGGCAAGGCGGCCGAGGCGCCGGGGGTCTTGGCGGGGGTTGAGGGGCCCTGCGGGAGGACGCGGTTGCTCTGCTCCCTCAGGAAGTTCAGCAGGAACGGCACGAATTCCTTCCGCAGAGGCCGAAGTGCGCTCAGAGCGGCCACCTCCGAGCTATCCTGAGGAAGAAGCAGAGGTCGCGAGGCGAGAGGGTCAGCTGACAGCCCCGACCGCCAGCGACTGAGGCCGCAGGGTGGGCGGCCCGGCGGTGGCGCCCGGAGAAGCGCCCTTGGCGCGGGCCGTCAGCCAGGGCAGGCTGGGAGAAGGGACTGAGGCATCATCCCCCGCGGGAAGCACATTCCAGGCAGGCCTGAGGGCGTGTCGGCACTGTTACCTCCGAACTCGGGGTGCTGCGCGCGATCCACCGCACGGCGGCTGCAACCGGCACCTCTTCGCGCAGCAGCGACTCCAAAACGGCCGCCATCCCGGTCCTGGCGCTCTGAGGCTAGTGCGCAGGCGCAGACGCGCCACGGGCGGCCGGGAGGGGCGGGGCCGGCGGCCGAGAGGGGCGGAGCCGGCGACTCGGAGCGACCGTTGGGCGGCGGGGCGGGGCCTTGTGGGGTGGGGCCTGGCTCTGGCCGCCGGGGAAGCTTCTCGGCGCTCTTCGCGCTAGCCTGCCAGCCCAGCCGTCGTAGGCCTGCAGAGCGCCTGGAGGCCCTGCCCTGGCCCAGGAGCATTGTGAGCTAGGACGGGACTGCTAGGAGACAGACGCAGCTCCGCAGAGACCGGAGTCCGAAAGAGAGGCCAGGCAGAAAAAGTGAACAACTCTAAGACACCAGCCTATCAGACCACACAGCTGCCATAAGCACAGCCTCCGACCACCGATAGTAGAGCTTTTTGATCCACTCCCTCCCCAACCAAAAAATGCTACGTGAGTAACCTATTTTGACCTTTCCCTCCCCTCCTCCACCAAAGGCTAACTTTTCACCATTGTCCAAGCCTTCCAGTGGCTTCCATCGACTGACAGTTTAGTACATAGTTCCTGCTGAGAGGCATTTTATAAAAACATCCCATCACAACCCTTACAGGTCCTCAGGACACCCTACACACAGAATTGTCCATCAGACTTGTACTTACTCCTTTACACATTGTATCAAATTGTTTACATCAGGCGACTATTTCAACTTCTTGTATTTGAGACGTCAAGCATATTAACTATTAGCTTCTGGAAGAGTAAGGCATTTCTGCAGTGTTTACTTCCATCCCCCACTTGCTGGTTAACCCTTGGGCTACATCTCCTGTCCCTTATTTTGAAAAATATGGGAGATTTTCAGATGTTGCTCCTTGGTTTAAAAAAAAAATCAAGATAGGGATCTAGTTGAGAAAAAGAAAGGCAAAGCAGCCATGAATTGCCCTGTGTTCCTCTCCTTCAGAGGAAGACCACTTGGTGACCAACAGTAGAGAACAGGAATCCCTCTACTGGTACCTGGGGTTTTTTTGCTAGGAAAAAGGAAAGGGAGCTTTTAAGGCTTTTGTGCTGGGTTTAGTGGATGCCTGCAATCCCAGCATTTGGCAGACAGAGGCAGGAGAACCTCAATTTCAAAGCCAGTTTGAACACACACACCCACACATACCCACACACCCACACACCCTCATACCCCTGAGCCCTGGGTTTTCACATAGCTTCTATTCAGTCGGCCCCAAATGTCCTTTTCTTGGTCATTTATTAGGCACTTCTGGTATACTGAATCTGCAACACTCCAATAGATTAGGAAATAGTTTCCACTTTTTGAAATCCAAACCACCACACAAACAGCACTAACGTTTGCATGCGTACTGAATGTTTTATTTACTAGATTATAAAAATAAAATACAAAATAATTTTAAAACAGAACTTAAAACACTGTACAAAGCTTTAATATGGTACAAATGGGGAAATTAAATAAATAATTACACTTTTATGTACAGATGGCCTATACAAAAGCACTCCATGTTCTTCTTTCAATACTCTATGCCCTTGGTTGCCTGAGCAAAAACACATCAAGGGAAGCTATGTGGAGGGAAAGGGATACAGTGCAATACATTTAAAAGAACTTCAGAGAGCAATTTCTCATCTCATTAAGAGGAGGACAGTAAGACGGATTAAAGCAATCTAACTCATTTGTCTTGTTCAATACAAGAATTCAGGTTGTAACTAAATCTGACGGCATTTGCCAATAATAGCTAATAAACTTACAACATTTATACCTAACACGAAAGCAGACATGCCTCCTTTGCTTGGAGTTTGTAAATAAATGGTCGGATGAAATAGGTGCTATTTTAAGAAAGGTGTCAAAAGGGAAATGAGAACTCTAATTCAGGGAACAGCAGGTGGCTCAATCCTGGATCATCAGATCTGTTCTTTGTACTCAACCCATCCAATCCAATCTCATCTAAGTTTTTTGCTTTTTTTTTTTTTTTTTTTTGAGACAGGGTCTCATGGAGCCCAAGTTGGCTTCAAACTCATTATGTAGCACATTAAGACCTTCAACTTCTGTTCTTGCCTTCACCTCCTAAATGCTGGGATTACAGACACTGACCACCAAGTCTAGGCAATCCAATCCAATTTCCAAGTCCTGAGTGGCCCTGTGCTACATTTCCTTTGTCTTAAAAGATGTAGTTCCTTTATTTTCTATATTTTAATTTCTGAAGTCTTTAACTTAGAGAACTAATTACACTAATTGATTAATAGTTCAATGAAACTATTTTAGTTAGGCTTGGTAGTGGTGGTGGTGCACACCTTTAATCCCAGCATTCCAAGAGGCAGAGGCAGGCGGATCTCTGAGTTCAAGGCTAACCTGGTCTACAAAGCTAGTTTCAGGACAGCCAGAAACCTTATCTTGAAAAACCAAACCAAAAAAAAAAAAAAAAAAAAAAGGTTTTTGTCTCAAAGCTTTCTTCTCATCAAACACTCTAAAATAAATCACAGCTAAACTCTGTAGCCTTGTTTACTGCTGTAGATGAGCAAAAAACACCTGGCATAGTTTGCTTGTTATACAAGTGAATTTTTGAGGATTTAAATCATGTTTTATAGGAGTTTTTAAAAGTATCATATGGCAAGAATAGTTTACATAAAAACTTGGTTTACTAATGTCTTTAGTTGAACAAACAATTGTGTGTACAATACAAAACAATTTTAAATTATAGAGAAATCTAACCACTGTTAGATCTGCCTCATTCATCCTGTTGTTGGTCTAAAAAGTCTGGTTGAAGGTACCAGGAGAAGTGGTCAGCCACCTGTCTATAGTGTCGATACTATCACACCCACGAGAGAAGGCAGAAACTTGTTACATTATAGGGGCAATGGAAGGAATGCCACTTTACTTCTGCTACAGGGTTCCTTAAAGCCAAGGTCTGAGTCAAATAGAGGAAAATAATCCCATTACCTTGAACATGCCTTGGCCAGCCTGGTTATTAGTCCTAGTGTGGGAGAGCAAACTACTGAAGTCGTTACTGAGTAAATCTTGGCCATTTAGCATCTTGAGATTGTGATGCAAATCCTCTGACAAGAGGAAGAACTTAACTGAAAGCCAGATCCCCTCTAAGTGCATAGGGGTTCTTGTCCCATACTTGGGATTAGTTACCTAGGAACTATACGGATTCTTCTCTTCCTGCAGTTCTGGCAAGCAGTGTTGGGTAACAAGACTCTGAAGGCTCCGAGATTGTGTTAAATTTCTGGAGAAATGGCCAAAATATGGCAAATACCCAATAATATGAGGAGTTTCCACTTTCTTACACATTCTCACAGTATACACTAGAGTTTTGTAAAGTTTTGGTGAGGACAGGAAGTGGGGTGCATTAATAACCACTTGGTGCTTACCAAGCATCACAACTCCCATGCTGTCCAAGTTGTGGAACTGCCTAAGTTTCCTTCCCTAAGAAGTTAAGGTCTTTATGCACCACAGTGGCTTCTGAACTTGGGTATATGTTGGCATATAAGGACTACCAGTGTAGTTACATGCTGTAATCCTATAATGCATTTGGATTAAATCCTAAAGAGCTATTCTGCAAACACATTGTCTATAGAACCAAATTCAAGAAAGTTAAACCATACAGTTGGTTGCAGCTGCCCTATTACCTCAGTGAAAGAGGTGCTAAATGACCTCTCCCCAGAAACAGTATCCTAACACAAAACCAGAAATAGGCAAATTTTTAAAAAACGAATGTAAACAACTTAGTCCTTGCATGAATATGAAAGAAGAAATAATTTTAAGATGTGCCATATTGGCAGATATGAAAGAATGAGAGGGAGTATACTCAACATACAATATATACATATATGTATGAAAACTTAAAAAATCATATGAAAAAGAACAGAGTTTCTGTTTTGTTTTTTTGAGAGGTTCTCACACTATAGCCCAGGGGGACTTGAAGTCACTATGAAGCTGAGGTTGGCTTCAGATTCTCTTCCATCTTTATACCTCATTCCCTCAAGTACTGGGTTAGAAACATGAGCCACCACACCTAGCTAGCAAGTTTTTAAAATATGAAAACTTTGATCTCCAAGGCTAAATCTAGATTATCTAAAAATGTATTTTAAGACAGCATTTTCAAGATGCATTGTTCCTTAAGCCACTAAATTGTGGATCCTGTTACCAATTCCTAATGTTAGATTAGAAATGTAAAATTTTCTGCCCTTGAAGAAAGGCACCTGTTTGTCATCAAGGTTATTGGGTGTAGAAAATCTTATGACTTAGCTATCTGGTCTAGGTTTATAAAACATGCAGCAATGTATACCTTTTTCTTTGTACAATGGATGCACTCATAGAAACAGTAGCCTGGGAATCTGTGGCTGGGAGGAAATCTCTGGTACCTGCTGAAGCCCCTCAAGTTCTCCCAGTGGCCAGGAATGAAACAGACAGAGGTACTGCACATGTAGAACACCAAATCAGCACACAGTGGTTTTGTATGCTAGAGCAAATAATGTAAAGTGGATAATGATGACAGTGGGCCTTTGACCATTTTGCTACTTTTTTTTAGGCCTTGATTAACTTGTTAGACAACTTTTACCAAAAACATTCATTGCAAAGCATGCAACTAAAAAAACTAAAGGTAGCCGTGCTCTTGTCTGCAAGGCCAGCTTATGTACCAGGGTTGGAGATAAGTGCATGGCTGCTGACAGCTTCATTGGAAGGTGACTTAAAACTCTAAATCTTAATGTAGAATTGGATATAATCCAATTTCCTCCTCTGTTCACTATCCATTAAAGTCAAATATGTTGAGTCTATGCAAGATTACTAGGTATGATTTTAATATTTCAAGCAATTCACAAAGTCTGAAGGTCAGTAGTATAATTTGGGAGCAACATTACCTAAAGCTATTGCTATGTCCATTTTTTGCTCCACGGAAATAATCCCAGGGACTAAACAAGGCAAAGGCGGGCATAAGTCAGTAGCCTGTACAGATGGAAGCCAGGAGGTACTTGTTTTCCAAAAGATAACTTCAGTTTCATACTGCTTTTGTTATAGCTTAGGCCATATGTTCCTCACCTTAAGTAAAATAGCCAAACTGTTCATATTTATTTGGATGATCTGTGGCTAAAATCTGAAATATGCCATCAATAAAAACCTCAAAATAAGGAACTGAAAAAGCCAAACCAAAACAAAAGCTTGATTCTCTGGATCATATTCCTGATCCAAAAGTGTTGCTTAAGGTTGCCAACTTCTATTTTTAACCTGAAAGAAATGTAACATCTAAAAGCACAAACTATGCTTTTTAATCTCTCTTGGGGGTGGGGGTTGTTGGAGACAGGGTTTCTTGTGTAGCCCTGGCTGTCCTGAAGCTCACTCTGTAGACCAGGCTGAAATCGAACTCAGAGATCCACATGCCTCTGCCTCCCCGAGTGCTGGGATTAAAGGCGTGCACCACTACCACCTGGCTCAGCTTTTTAATCTCTATATCAGGACAGCACTTAATAAATGGACCTAGTGATAGATAAAATATAATTAGTCCATTTCCTTTTCTTCAGAGCAAAAACATCTTTGGTTGGCTCTTTTCCCTACATGCATAATAAAACATTCTCATGTAATGAGGCCATTTGTCTCTGGATTTTGATGAGTTTGTTAATGACATGTAGAAAAGGAGGCAACACATTAAAAGGTTGGAGAAAACAAAGAAACCAAAACAGAAAACATCCTGTCATGCTGCCATTACTTTGGGTTTGACTGTTAGCAGAGAAATTCAGAAAGGAAAAGGCTGGGCTGTATTAGCTTTCCCAGTGGTTACTATTAGCACATTTCTGAGTAGAGAGGTCAATATTAAAGCTGGCTACTTTTAGCATCATTTAGCTTATGAAACAGAAGAAAGATAATTTCTTAATTATCCTACATCCTCACTGCCATTCAAGAGTGACATGAAAGAGGCAACTTTCAGGAAATGTTTTAAAAATCAACTGGTGCCAGATCCATAATTATAATGCCCATCGATGTACTCTAACCGTAACGACAGAACTATGGGGCTAACATGAGTAATCTTTGAGCCTGTATTACAAGCATATCCTGTTTAAAATTTCACCTATTAAAATACTTTTTAAATGAAAATTAAGTATCTTATACCTTGGCTTGCTAAAGACCGCCAACTGTTGCACTATGCACCTGGAAGGCAAGAAGAATCTTCGGTGTCACATGCCCAGAACATATTTTCAGAAAATGAAGATAGGCAGTGCCCAAGTGTACACAAGGCACACACTAGAAAAGGAATTTCGTCCTCTAGGATCTTGAAATTACAAATGCAGAATGAGAAAGAATGGATTTATATAAGCATATGCCTCTATATTTATAAATATTGATATCATTTACCATGAAAGACATGCAAGTTAAATTGCAGCAGCTGTTCTACAGTATAATACACAGGGTCAGTCTCCAGTACCGCAGCAGCTCTAATGGACAAACAGTAGGTGTGCCTTTCTGCTGCACTGCTCTGAAATGCTTGAACCTGGGAAGAAATGGATTCCACACTATGCTCCATTTCTCATGGGAGACCTATGTCTCAGTGTAGTGTCCCGATTTTGAGAATGCTCACACAGGAAACAGTGCAGCAATAGCGCAGCTGGGGTGCAGCCCTGGAATATGCTCGCTTAGTGAAGAAATACATTTCCTTCTCCACCCACCCTACCTCAAATTCAACTGTTTTAGGTTTGGCAGCAACACAGGTCAAAGAGAAAGGAGATGTTTGTTAGAAGGCAGATTTCAACAGCAGGCAGATCAGTTTCCCTGACCTCAATAAGGTTTTATCATACTAAACACTCACAGGGCGTCAAAGAGCCCATTTAAAAAGTCTGGCATTCTTTAATTTGCCTGATTTTTACTAGAACGAGAGTGAGAACAGAACAAATGTCATCATCCTTACAACTTTATAAATTGAGATTATGTGGAGATCAGGCTAAGAAGCTGAAGCATAAACAACACAAGAACCAAATGATAAAAACACTGAAAGAAAACTATTTAGCCTAAATTTATTCCCCCAGATATTCATTCCTTATTGGCTAAATGTATATGGCTAAATATATAAAATGCAAATTCTGAAGGTTATAAGCCTCAATAGCATACTTAATTTCTTTCTAAATCTCTAAAAGCATAAGCCACATTCCAAAGTTGTGTGCTTTCCCAGCACCATCTTGAAGGCTGACCCTAGAGAACGCAGGGAGGACATAAAGGAAGCTGTCTCCTCTGGTCAGTCTCCTACACAGACGAAATGGAGTCAGGTACGAGGCGTGCTTCTACCTTTAAAGACATTGTCCCACTCTCTGTCCCTCTCCAAACACACCTGCCCCAAACAGCTCTAGCTGGACATTTCTTTCCTTTTTGAGATTAAAAATATACGCGTTAAAAACTGTGGCTCAAAAGAAACTAACAAGGTTTGACTAAATAAGGGCAAGTGGATTTTAAAGTGTTAGTGTGTGCTACTGAAACCCTTATTAAGGTGCATTGTTAAAATAAGAGGTAAGAAATATTAATTTTAAAAAATGTCAAACCTAGGAAAGATACTCAGAATGAGTGGAAAGAAAGGTGTGGATTCATTAAATAAGCACACAAACCAAATATACCCAAGTACTAGTTTCCTGGCAACAGGCTTCTTATATATTTGAATGTCTGCACAATGACTCTCCAAGGTTAAGAAGTTGTAAATAAAAATATCAAACACTTTTGCTATACTCTTTGAGTAGAGGATTAACAAATTAGGCAAAATCACTTAAAATCCCATTCTATTTCCTATCCTCAACTTTCTGTTTTGAAGGCAGCTATAAGCAAGAGCTCATTTAATGAGTTTCTTCTCCTTGGATTTTGATGAACTGAAGCATTTGATTCCTGATCCGCTTCCTACCTGCCCTAGGTAATTCCTTAGTATATAGTTATGTCTTCTTATAAATAACCGATCATGTTACTTTCTTTTTCAAGAGAAGATCAACACTGATTGTTTGAAACAGACAGTACAGAGACACACATGCATCAGGTCTAGGAGGAAGATCTCACACCTTTCCCAGAGATGCAGCCCGCTTGCTTCCTATCTGCTGAGTTTACTGGCTGGCTTACTCTTCCCTGGGGGAGTTTTGGAGCTGGCTGAGTGGTGGTGGAGGCTGCCAGATCCTTTGAGGCCATTCTTGCTGGGTTTGCAATGCTCCTGTTGGCAGGACCTCCTGGACGACGATGATCCTGAGTGGCTGGGGGGTGACTTGCTTCTCCCCAGATGTGGGGACGAACTCCTCTGCTCATGGTGGGGCCGTCCAGCCCTAGATGGTGAGGAACTAGATGTTCGGGGCAAGGATGAGCTTCGAGGAGAGGCACTGGGACTCCTGCGAGGTACAACTGGACTCTTGGGTGGTGTTTTTGGATTGTGAGGAGATCCTGGGCTCTTGGATTGAGGAGTACTCCGGGGTTTCTGAGATCCATTTTGAAGAATTTGGGCCAGGCGAGAGAAAAGGTCTGAGTCAGAGTTACTACTCCCTAGAACTTTATATCTGCGTAGCCTTAAAAAAATAGAGAAGAATTAATTTTTTTTGGAGACAGGACATCAAAATTCATTATAAGTGTGCCTAAAAATCACAGTATCCTAAGTCATATTTATGAAGTATGTCAAAACCAGAAAATACACTAAATGGATACTGAGTTTCTCTTTCACTTGTATGCTGTATGTGACACGGGACAGATTAACATCTGCTATGTCTCTTTTTCCTTTTGATTATGTTTGTTTCCGTTGACAAGGTCTTCCTATGTAGCCCACACTGGTCAGGAACACAGTATGTAACCCAGGCCAAGCTGGCCTTAGCTTGACATTTTCCTGCCTCAGCTTCCCAGGTATTAAGATTATAGGTATTCATCATCATCTTTTAGCTTTCCATCATTCCTGACCAAACATACCTTGTTTGTGTGTTTTTAAAATCCCAACAGGGGCCCGGGGGATGGCTCGGTGGGTAAAGGCTCTTGCCATGAAAGCCTGGTAACCTGAGTTTGATCCCTGGAACCCACATAAAGGTGGAAAGAGAGAACCAATTCCACACGGTTGTCTATCACCTCTACACATGCACTGTGGCACACTCCTCCATTGTGCAACACACATACACTCATTATAAGTAAAGACTCTAATCTTGAAAAGGTTCTCTTCCACAGTCAGGTGAACTAGCCATTCTCTTGCTCTGATTCAGAGCTTCCCAAGTGCTGCCATGTCTAGCAGTAATCCAGCAGAATTCCAGTGAACTTCTTTAGTAACGTATTCTCTTAAGTTAGCTACCTGGCTCTGGTAAATGACGATAGGAACAATACGCTGACTACTATGTAAGCTTTGAAGCAGAGAATATATGTATTATGGACATTTGTTTGATGCCAGGAACTTCTCCCACCTAGAAAACAACCGCAGTGAAGAGTCTGTTGAATGAAATTATTTTAGAAATCTGAATTGTATTAAAAGCTTGCAATACACAGAGGGAAACTTGGACCATAAACTGCAGTTAGCTTTGGTCAATTTCAGATTTTAGCAAGGTAATAGTTACTCATCCCACCTTCAGCCCTGTGGCAGTCAACTGTGTAGTAGTTTCTAAAGCAGTTTGCACACAACTTGCAGGAATCAGGGTAGGTCAAACAAACAGTCCCTCAGCTATAGATACAGCTCAGCAGCTAAGAGTACCGTGCTTCCAAAGGACCAGAGTTTAGTTCTCAGCACCCACACTGGCAACTCATGACCACCTATAACTCCAGCTACAGGGGATCCAACAGCCTCTTCTGGCCTCTGAGGGCACCTGCACACATGTGCACAAACGCCTCCCTCCCCCTCGTTACCCCCCCCCCCCAGTTAAAAATAAAAATAAAATCTTTGGGAAAAAAAATATCTGTTTGGAGACTCTGTGTTCTAATTGCTTTTTGTCCCCATCCCAGGGCTTCATGCATCATCTCAGGACAGCTACGAATGAGGCCAACATACTTGTTGAGGACAACAAATTACACTGTCAGTAGGTTGATGATCATGGTGCATGGCACCAGTATGTGTTTGAAATTTCTGAATAATAAATTCTCAGTAAAACCAAGTTGTTATGACTTGTATCAGTTCAAACTAGGGAAGGTAACTTTCTCAGATGCCTTGGGAGTATTCATCATTTATCATATTTTCATGAAAAAGAGATATAAGCTAACCTGCATACAGTGCTGAACAGAAAAAAGACCCAATAACAAAAGCGACAAGTTAATTTACATTCTGCTCCAGTTAGTACCATTCATCTAAATTTCACATTTCTCCTGAGTAAATGGATTAATGTGTAATTTCCTCATTCTGCAAGCTCTGCAATAATACAAACATTTCCTTGCTAGAGCTGAGAACTCTACAAGGTCCTGACCCTTGTGTTACTAACCAAATCAACTATCAAGAAATTGCCTAAGGATACAAATGGCTTATACCACATCATTCAAAGTGATAGGATGGGACATTTCCGAGACAGGTATATTTTTATTTTGTTTAGTTTAATTTTAGGAGTTCAATCATAAGGTGGTAACTTCAAAGATAATGGTCCCACTGGCTGAAATAACTCTTTTTATTCTGCTGGCTTAAGTCTGAAAAAGAATGACATTAAACTTTATTTTACTATGCTCTAGTTTTTCGTTCTGTTCTCAGGATATGTAAGAGTTGCCGCCCACTACCTCTGCTTGTATCTCTGTCCATTACCGCAAGCCCCCGTTTCTGTGACTGAAGTGACTTTCAGAGACACGAAGAACGGGTATTTTCTCACTCTGCTGCTACTTTTTTTTCTTTTCTACTTTTTTCTTTTTAGGGAACTAAATATTAATGACTAGGACAGGCTAGAAAGATGCCTCAGAGGGGAAAGGTGCTTTGCCTCCAAGTTTGATGACCTGAGGTGGAAGAAAAGAACCAACTCCCTCAAGTTGACTCCAGCTGCCACACAAGTACAATGGTGTGCGCACACACACAGTTTTTTAAAAGCACATTTGTACAGTGAGAAGCAGTAGAAACTGTAAGATAGGAAAACTGATACTGAGTCTGAAGAAGAGAGTGCCTAGCAAGTGGAGTGATGAGGGCACCAGAGGAGTTGCAGATGGAAGAGAGAGAAGAGACCACCTGAAGAAGAGCTGGAAACAAGACCTAACATCCAGTAAGCTAAAGAACTCTAGGCAAGATGACCCCAAAGCTACCTAATCACATATCATCAAATTGTCAAAAGAGTCTTGGGAGCAGCAAGCAATAAGTAGCTTTGTCATGTACAAAGAGTCCTCAAAGACTTTTCTCATCAGAACTTCTGGAGGTCAAAAGGCAGTGGTCTGAGGACTGAAAATTTTAAAGCTCTAGGGAACTGTCAATCAAGAACCCCATGTTGAGAAAGTATCCTTCAAAGATGAGGGAGAAATGAAGATACTGTGAGGTAAAAGCTGAGGTAGGGCTTGGCAGTATAGTACTCAGCATGCATGAGACCCTGGGTTCAATACCCACCTACATAACCACTGTATCACCCCCAGACCTGCCATCTAGCAGTGCTAGTTGAAGTTACTGCAGGTTGAAATGAGAGGACACTGGACAGCAACCTGAAGCCATGTAGGGAGATAAAGATCTGAATAAAGATAAATATGTAACTATACACAAAGTCAACTGTAAAAGTGTTATTATTCTTACAGCTCTATTTTTTTGTTTCCTGAATGATTTAGGAGACTAATACGTTTATAAAACATCTAGTTATTAAAGCTGAACATGACTGTTGTACATCTATAATCCCAGTGGGAAGATCAGGAGTTCAAGGACAGTTTGAGCTCTATAATCTCAAAAGCAAAACTAAACAATTATAAGCTTGTTTGGAGACATAAAATTAAGATGTAATCTTATGATGTCAACAAGTACAAGGAATGCGGATGGAAACTTAAAGGGGCACAGTGGCGTGTTCCTGGTATTACACTGCTAAACACCCAATTAGGTAGAATGCTGGAACTTCAGGACAGTCTGTGGGCTCCATGTTGATTACAATGAAAACGGGCACCACACACACACACACACACACACACACACACACACACACACACACACACACACCAGTAGGAAAGAAGACAGACACAATAAACAAAGAACAAAATGCTAATTTAAGGCAGGGCCAGCAAGATGGCTCAGCAGGAAAGGTGCTTTTCCACCTGACAGCCTGAGTTGGATCTCTGAGACCCACAAGGTGGAAGGAGAGAACTATTTCCCACAAGCTGTCTTTTGATCTCTTCATCTGCAAAGGCACACTCAGAATCACACACAAGTGTAAATAAATAGAATGTTGTAAGGCCACTATAAAAAAAACACCCAAATGATAGAAGTCCCTTCCCTCCCAACCATCTTTAAAAGGAAGGAAATTCTGCAAGACACTAACACGAATGACCCTAAAGACTTTCTGCTAAGTAAAACAGGCCCTCTACAACTGGACAAATACTATACGTGCTACTACTTAGCCCAAGGGTTTATAATGACCAAAACCAGAAAGAAATCAATGAATGCTGCTGGGGCTGGGTTTCAGTTTTATATGAAGAAGAGAGCCCTAAAAGTGGATAGTGATGGTTGCATGGTAAAATTAAGAGTTAATGCCACTGAAAAGGACACTTAAAATGAGTAAGATGGTAAATTTTATGTTAGTTTTATTTTGCCACAGTAGAAACAAAATGCATTAGTCTGGGTCAATCTGTACTGTGCCCTAAGGCTTGTGGGAGGGAGAAGAAAACATGCTCAAAAGAACTGCTACCACTGATGTCATACAGTAAAGCACACCTGAAAACACCATTACACTCCATACACAAGGAAAACAAGACGCATTACCTGGCTTCTACTCCAGGCCTGATTGGTGGCTTTCCTGGTGGTGGCCGAGGCAAGAACTGAGGTGAAGCTGAGCTATTAACTTGATCCGTGCTGACCCAGGAAACTGGCCTTGGAATCTTGCTCTTTCTAGACTGGGAGATGATGGGTGTCAGAAAGCCATCTTCAGCTGATCTACTCAGGTGGGAATCTACTGCCAGTCTGGAAAAGGGAGTGAAGACTTCTTCCTCAGAAAAGGGAACAGGAGCAGCGGCTAATTTCTCCTCTATCAGCTTATCAGAGGCACTTGAGAGGTCCCCCAGGAAAGAGTTGAACTGCCTTTTTTCTACCAGAAGTTTGACTAGTTCTGGCTGATAGGCTTTCTTCTGTAGAAGCTTTTCTTTTGCAGAGACTGCAGAAGATGATTCAAAAGTTGAATCTATTTCTTGTGCTAAAACAGGGATCCGGCTGTGCCTGGTTACAAAGGATGACCGAAGTATGTCCTTCCGGGTGGGAGGACCATGTTCATTCTCTGAGACACAATGATATAGCTCTCCATTTCTAGGGACAACTTTCTCTCTCTTTCCCTCTTGGTGCAAAAAAGTAGAGAGGTCTCCCTGCTGTCCTGGCAAGTCTTCACTCTTCATGTCCGCATCCTTAAAGAGCTTCGTTTGCGGTACCGCCACCTGGCCAATCTGCCCTTCAGCAGGTGGGTCAATGACTTGTTGAGAAATTTCTGAAGTTCCAGTTGTCAAAAGCTTCAGTATCTCATGGTTTTTGTCCTGATTTGGCACCACACTAAAATTCTGTGTCTTTGATATATCAAGAGGTTCGGTGGTAGCTGACTGATCTCTTTCTGCAGTTACTAAATCTCCTGGGAAAGAGATTTCAACACAATGCTGCCCTTTACTTAACTTCTCATCTTCATTATCTGAGCCCAGAAGAATGCCTTTTTCCTCTGTTTCTCCAGGAAGATTTTCAAATTCTTTCATAACTAATCTATTATGGTCAGGAAAGTCTTTTGGTCCCAAGTCTTGAGATGTATCCCCGTCTTTCATATTGGGTAACATGTCATGACCAGTATGATCTATCTGAAGTCCCAAATCCGTTCTGCTTCCTCCACTAGGAAGTTCGCCCTCTGTTGCAACCAAGCAGGAGAAGTTTTCTCTGGGAGAATAAAGTTCCACAGTGGGTTCCAAGGGCTGAAGATCTTTCTTCTCTGGTTGCGGACCATAGTGAAAGCTTCCTGAAGTTGACTGTGTTGATGCCGCAGAAGGTCTAGGAATTGTAATCTGGAGAAGTAGGGAGAAAAATGTAAAACATCTAATTATGTGGGGTATCAATCAGCTGCATGGTCTGAGATGCAATACTTCAGATTTCAATTTCTAAGAGTGACAAAGACTTTTACCAGGTCTTCCCAACTCATACTAAATGAGCAATTGTGAATAAAGATGAAGGACGTTCAAGTGGGCCTCAAAGGAGTTGCACAGAACGAATGATTCCCCTAGAGGTTCTTTGTGCTTGCTCCTTTCACATGCCTATGCCCCAGAAGACTGATTTCAAAAGACGGCATGGCCCAGACTCCCTGCAAATAGGTGTCCTATGATAAGTTAAATTCTATTATCCCCACACTAAAGTCAGTTTTATGTGAATACAATTTAATATCTTTTTTAAAAGGCCTTTTTGGAGGAACCGGATAAACTCAGATCACTTAATGAAGACTATTAAGTCCTAGGAAAACAAAACAAAACACTTTGTGTCAGGAACATAATTAGGCTTACAGACATGTGAATCCTGCAGACCAATCTAGACAGAAATCACCTGACTGATACATGAAGTAACTCCCAAATAGGACAGGCATGGTGGTATATATCTGTAATCCCAGCATTTGGGTGGTTGAGGCTTGAGGAATTTGAGTTCCAGGTCAGCTTGATTTATGCTATAAAATTTTGTTAAAATAAATAAAAATAAGGAACTAGAGTCGTGAGGATGCTTCAGCTGAATCCAAGACAGGCTATTAGGGTTCAGAACTGCAGTAATCCCAGACCTATTGTGAACTTGAAGAAAGGCACTAAGTTCTCCTTCAGGAGGTCACCTCCTACTTCCTAAATAGTTAAACATCTTTTTAAATTATTCTAAGATACCGAGGTAGATGGCAACTTCCTAATACATGTTTTCATTACATTTATTTATTGTGTGTGTGTGCATGCATGTTCACTTGCACCATAAAACATACGTGGAGACCAGAGGGACCATCCACAGGAGGTCAGTTCTGTCCTTCTATTATGTGGGTCTGGGAACCAAATTCTGGTTTTCAGGCTTGGCAGCAAGCACCTTACTCAGTAGACAATCTTGTCTGTCAGTCTGTGTGTGTGTGTGTGTGTGTGTGTATGCACTTTAAACTTCATCTATTTATTTATGAATGTATGTGTGTGAAGGTATGCATGCCATAGCTCAAATGTGAAGGTCAGAGGACAACCTTCCACTGTATGGGTCCTAGGAATTAAACTCAGGTCATTCATCAAGATTGGTGGTATTTTCATCTGCTAAGCCATCTTGCTGGCCCTCTGTTATATTTTTATAATGATACTAAAATCTGAAATTCAGAGTACTTCACTTTTTTTAAAGTTACTTTTAAGATCCAAGTGTGGCAATAGTTAGAAAAGTAGTTGTAAAATGACATTAACTATTAAATAACAAGGGAGATGAACATCTACATTCACAATAAACCAAGAATAGCCACCTCGTTAGTATGCGTAATTCCAACACTAATCCAAAAAGAATGAAACAGTGTTTACAAGAGCAATGTTTCACTGGCCTTCTGGGATCGAAGCCAGAAGTAACTCCTACAGATCTGAGATTAACTCCTTTTGATTATCTTATGACCTCTGTGTGGGTGTGCATGTGTGATTAGCAATCTTATATAAGGAAAATGTGTATGAACAGCCAGACAGAATTTCAGGCAATTACAACAAACTGTACATAACCTATTCTCATGTAACAGTCCCATAGCCTTTTAAATTTTGTAAGATATTCAAGTTCATTTTTACAAATTCTATGATAACATTGCTATTTTTGTTTCCCCAATTTTAGTTGAATTCCATTATTAATACAAGTTCCTAAATGAAGAAAAACAAAGACAGGACCTAGGTTTTGAAAGTCATGCACACCACAGCCTGTTACTGACACAGCATGTGCTCTCAAAATCTGGGGAACTGCGTCTGCAAAAACCCTGACGAGATGAAATGAAAAAACCCAGGATCAAGAAGAGAAAACAAGGGGTTAGAGATTTAGCTCAGTGGTAGAGTGCTTGCCTAGCAAGCACAAGGCCCTGGGTTCGGTCCTCAGCTTCGGAAGAAAAAAAAAAAGAAAACAAATTCAAAGTGTAGCTGCAATACCTCCCTTGACCTTGACGTTCAAAGCACGCTCCCTATGGACTAAACAGTAACCTCCCCATAAGATACCGTTTGCATCTTCCATACCTTGAACTTCTGTAATTCATACCTGTTAGAGCATCACTTTTTTTCTCTCTCAAGACAAGGTCGTGCTACACAGCCCAGGCTGACCTTCAGTTTACAACCATTTTCCCGAGTTAGTCTCTGGGATTCGAGGCACCAGCCACCATGGCCAGCGAAGGCAGGCACACTACTGTCACTTCTATTCTTGTGCTTTGCTTAACATCATCCATGCCTTTCTGCACTTCCTAAATCACCTCTGAGATTTCCGTTTCCTTCATGGTGTCATAGTTTTAGTAATGCCCAATATTAAAGCCTACATACTAATGAGTACAGAAGTCTTATGATTTATTACAATCAAGGAAACTACCAAATAGAATTAGTTTACACAGTTCAGGAAGAATAGCATTAACTTTTAGTTACATCATGTTAAGAGTTGGCCACGCAGCAGATGACCATATGAATCAACTATCCTATCCATTTTATTTTTGGTTGTGAGCCTAGCCTTTAACGGCTGAGCCATCTCTCCAGCCCTCCTATCCATTTTAATTTATGAATCACACTTTTGTTTTTCTCTTGCTCAAGTATAATAAAAAAAACCTTGGGAAATTAAACACTTGCACCAAGTAGCCTGTTTGTGGTTTTTTTTTGGTTTTGTTTTGGTATAACATGGAAGGTATAATAGCTATATGTTATATTGACCCATGGACAAGGACAATTTAGAAGTAATACAAGTAGTAGAATAATGTATTGGTTGTAACATTGCCCAGAATTAATTAAGAATTCCTGTCCTTTTAAAAATTTATGTTTTGGTGGTCGGTAGTGGCACACACCTTTAATCACAGCACAGAGACAGGTGTAATCTCTGAGTTTGAGACCAGCCTGGTCTATAGAGCGAGTTCTAGGACAGCCAAGACAGTCAGGACTACACAGAGAAACCCTGTCTCAAAAAAACAAAAACAAAAACAAAAAAATTACATTTTGGGGGCTGGAGAGATGGCTCAGAGGTTAAAAGTACTTATTGCTCTTGTAGAGAATCTGAATTCAGCTCCCAGCACCCACATGGCAGCTCACAGCTGTCTGTAACTCCAGTCCAAGGGATCTGACACCCTGTTCTGACCTCTATGGGTACCAGGCATGTTCATGAGGCACAGACATATATGCAGGCAAAACACTCATACACATGAATTTAAACAAAACAAAAAACAGTATAGGCTATGGGGGACAGGGGAGGGGGAGTACACATGCCTTTAATCCCAGCACTTGGGAAGAGGAGGATCTCTGGGAGTTCAAGTTTAAGACCAAGTCTGGTCTACATAGTGAGTTTCTCTGTAGCTAAGACTGGCTTGGACCATGCAGCAATGCTCCTTCCTTGATTTCCTGAGTACTGGGATGAGCTAAAGTCCTAAACAACCAGGGGGTGGGGGGAAATCCTAAACAAAACAGACCTCAGGTTTGATTAGACATTAGCCCTAGCTTACTTAACCCTTGAGCTAGCTAGTGTTCTCTATGCCACAAACAACCTATAAAATTGTACAAAGCAGTTCGAGGGGACAGGATCAATTAAATTCTGATTGGAAAAGAAGAAGTCATTTATTTCCCTATTTTGGAGCACTGACAAATCCTTACAGAGTGTTCAGAAAGCAAAATTTCATTGGTATCTTTTCCAAGTGTTTTATAACTGGTATATCAAAACATGTTTTAACAAAAACCGTTTCAATTTGGGAACAATGCTGAGGCTATTATGTTAGAAAGGAAGCCTGGTACCTGCCCCTGTGTCAGAACCAGAGCACTTGTAGGTGCCTGAAGCTGTGCAGGCATCCTTCCTGCCTGAGGTTGGCTTTTCTGGGACTCCTCCTGCTCAAAGCCACTGCTTACCTCCAAAAGGCAACTGTTCTCAACAATGGCATGCCCAGGGCTGAGAACTGGCAATACTGTTCCTCCAAAAGGTTTCTTTTCAGAAAACTTGGTACAACTGCCTTCAAACACTTGAAAATGAAGTTCATTCTACCCCAGACTTAGAAAAGTAGAGTTCTGAAAGCCAGGCTTGAGAGTATACATTTTATATCGTGGCTGTCTCACAATTAAGAGAAATGTAAAACATGAGAAATTTCTGAGTAGAGATTTCAAAAAAAGCTCAGACTTGTTAACAGTATATAAAGAACAAACTACAACACAGGCCTTTCTTAGCAGATGTATAATAAAATTCTTCAAAATGGTAATTTTATAATAATTTGTGCACATACACACATAAATAGGCAGACCTTATAGTCTAATTATAAATGTTGCAAAATTAGGTTATAATGATAGTTCATGTATTAAGTTTGATATAACAAAGAAAAGCTCACTTACATTATTATCTTCTTTTTTCCCCCCAGACAGGGTCTCATTATGTACCCCCAGCTGTCCTGAAGCTCACTCTGTAGACCAGGATGGCCTTGACCTCACAGAAATCCAGCTGCCTCTGCCTCCCAAGGGCTAGGATTAACCAGGCATGCGCCTGGCTTTATTTTTTCCTTACTGCAGGGTGACTATGAATTTAGTATAAATACTATTGTTTACATGTACCTATTTGCTAAACTTAAGCCTCTAATTCTTACACAACCTTAACTGATCAACTAACCTACCTTCTCTTTATTTAGATACAGGGTCTCACTGTATCCCAGACTAGCCTTGAATTTACAGTGGTCCCCTTTACATAGCTTCCTAAATTCTGGGATTATAGCTGTGAACCACCATGTCAGTGTGTGTGCGTGTGTGAGAATGTGCCTGTATGTGGGGACACACCTATTTTTTGAGACAGATCTCTCACTAGATCTGGAACTCAGTGATTTGGCTAGGCTGGCTGGCCAGCAAGCTCTAGGGATTCATTTATCTTTGTCCTGGCCCCCCAGCCCCCACACACTCTGACTCTGCAGTGCTGGAGTCACAGATGTGTACTGCCATGCCTGGGTTTTATGTGGGTACTGAGTATCTGAACTCAGGTCCTCATGCAGGCACAGCAAATAATTTACTGATTGAGTCAACTTCCTAGCCCCAATCTTCTCTCTTTTTGGTTTGGTTTTTTTATGTTGTTGTTATTTTGAGACAAGGTCTCACTGTGTATCCCTGGCCGTCCTGGAACTTGGTATGTAAAAGAAGCTGGCCTCAAACTCACAGAGATCCACCTACCTCAACCTCCTGAGTCCTGGGATTGAAGGTGTGTGTAACCACACCCAGCTCAGGCTTTTCTTAATAACAAATTGAGCAGACAACACCAAATAATAACAAAAACACCGTTTCTTACCGCAGTCAGGGGGCCTTCTGCTTGCGCCTCCATTGGACTTGTGGGAGTCACTGTGATGAACTGACTAGCAGCTCCAGCCTGGAGGTCTAGCCTGTCTGGGTACTGTTCTGAAGCAGCAGTGGCAGGGCATTCTGCAGAAAGCGCTAAGACCACACCTGAGGTTTCCTGTAAGTGATGGTTGTTGGTCCAAGGACCTACTTGGATCTTTTCATCTTGAGCTGACCCTTCAAGGACCTGAAGCACTTCAGGCTCCTCATCTGAAGGGCTTCCAGTTGTTTTATGGCCTAACACCTCATTTGTCCTAAAATCCTGAAGGTCTTGCTCTTTGTCCACAATCACCCATTCTTTGGAATCAACCTCCTGCTTGCAAGAGCTTAAGTTAACCGCTATAAATCCATTGCTGCCGCCACCATCTGCCTGCTCTGGAGTGTTGGCAGAGGCAGGCTTGGAGGCATCAGGAAGGTATTCTTCATCATAGTGCCAGATGTGGTCAGTGCGGGACACAACAGGAACACAAGGCTTATGAGGCAGAGCAGGGAGAACAGATTCCTTTCCTGCACTGGAATCTTTCTGCATTTTCTCCATGCTTAAGGAAACAGAAAGAAGTTATTCAGTTGTCCTTAGAGAAACATTTATTATATACTGATAAACTCTATGTGGAACAACCATTCTTTTTTATTTTTATTTTTTTTTTCCAGACAGGGTTTCTCTGTATAGCTTTGTGCCTTTCCTGGAACTCACTCTGTAGCCCAGGCTGGACTCGAACTCACAGAGGTCCACCTGCCTCTGCCTCCTGAGTACTGGGATTAAAGGCGTGCGCTACCACCGTCGCCCAGTTGTGGAACAACCATTCTTACAAAAGTGTGATAAGTACGTAGGAAAAAAACAAAGTTCACAGGGTCGATGGCGTTTTTTTCTTGCCATTCCTGCTCTTCCCCACCACTGTCCACTTTCAAAGTCTCTTTTGTCACTTGATGTCCTTGCCAAACTAAGTTTTTATTCCTATTGCTCTCTTACATCTAGTTCTCATCTTAACTGTAATTCAAAACGGCTAAAGCATGGTTCAAGTCTAATCCATCCTTTTGATCATATCTGGATATGTAAAAATGGATGACCTTGCATTTCTGATCATTCTGCCTCTAGCTTCATAGAACTGAGATTACAGACATGAACTACAACACAAACTTTTATGTCTTTCTGGGGACTGAACATAGGGCCTTATATATGCTAGGCAGGCACTCTAGCAATTGAATTAGACTCTCAGCCCAAATCCATAGCCATTCTTAACCTAATATTTCATTGCCAACAGCCCCAGAGTTGGGACTATAGTGTTCACCACCACATACATCTTAATTATCTTGAAGCCTTTTTATTAATTATAAATATACCTCAAATCTTACATTTTTATTTCCATTTTTTTACCAAAATTTGTTAAATGGAGAATGTGCCTAACTGATCAAAAGCAACAATCATTACAGTATTTACATTCAGACCTCTAAAGTTTAGCTCTTCTTCTTCCTTGGAAGGTGGGAGCACTACAGGGCACAGTGGCAAACTTGCTATGTATTTTCCCACTGCATCTTCTGTGTGCCCCTCACTCCTGTCTACTGTGGCCTTTACTGTGCCTTTCTGCCTCTACACTGTTGCCTCGAAGAGTTCACTTTCTAACAAGGTCAAGGAAAATACGTACACTTGATTACTATATCTGGTTTTAGGAAGTTAGCACTCTCAAAGACAAAGACTTTGCTATAGAGTCTGTAATGATATTAGACTTCACTAAGAATGATGATGATCTATAACTATGATATGAACAAATGGAAGCTTAATGGAGTCAGTGTTATAAAAACACAAGAATTTCTTATGTGAAAGAATTTATACAATGGATATAAAATATAATAGAAAAAAAGATACATTACATACCAGGTCTCAAGAAACTTGTCAGTATCTGGCTTTGGCTCTAGTGTCAGACGTTTTTCTAGCTCAAAGCTATGAATCGAACGTAACTTCCTTACTAAGGGAACATCCCTGTCTGGCTGAGTAATCTCTGATCGGACACGAATTGGTGAGCCCAGGCTTGGAGCATTGAGAATGCCATTTACTTGACCATGGCTATTTTCTTCTTCAGTAGCAGCCTAGAAAAAAAAATACAAAATAGAATCATGAAAAATTCTCCAAATATTATACATGGGAGAAATCAGTGGAGTCTTTCAAATAATATCAACAAATGATTACATGTATTTTCAGAAAATTAAAAAAAATTTTTTGTTTGTTTTTCTGAGACAGTTTCTCAGTGTAGTCCTGGCTGTTCTGGAACTCATTCTGTAGACCAGGCTGGCCTTGAACTCACAGAGATCCACCTGCCTCTGCCTCCCGAGTGCTGAGATTAAAGGCATACACCATCACTGCCAGGCTCTAAAGTGCTTTTTTAATTTTAACTTTAAAAATTATACTTATGCCGGGCGGTGGTGGCGCACGCCTTTAATCCCAGCACTCGGGAGGCAGAGCCAGGCGGATCTCTGTGAGTTCGAGGCCAGCCTGGGCTACCAAGTGAGTCCCAGGAAAGGCGCAAAGCTACACAGAGAAACCCTGTCTCGAAAAACCAAAAAAAAAAAAAAAATTATACTTATGAAAAAAATTATATTTATGTATTTGCTTATTTACTTACTGTATATATGTGTGTATGTGTTGTGGAATATTTGTTTACACTGCAAAGATGTGTCTTTGCCAAGATGCTTTCTGATTGATTTAATAAAGAGCTGAATGGCCAATAGCAAGGCAAGAGATATAGGCAGGATTTCCGGGGACAGAGAGGAAGAGGAGATGAATCGAGGCATGCAGGAGACGCCACGGAAACGTGGGGAGAATAAAAGAAAGGTAAAAAGTCACATAGTAAAATGCAGATTAATATAAGCAGGTTAATTTAAGTTATAAGAGCTGGTTAGAAACAAACCTAAGCTAGGGCTGAGCTTTCATAATTAATAATAGGTCTCCCTGTCGTTATTTGGGAGCTGGTTGGTGGGACAGAAAAAGAGTGGCTACATGTGTGTGCCCTTACCACATGTGAGTATGGAGGTCAGAGGACAACTGTATGAGCCGACTCTCTCCTTCCATGTGAATTGCCAGGCTAGGTGACAAGCACCTAAACCTCCAGACTCAACTCACCAGCTCAGAAAATGAAGGTATTTTGACCTTGTGGCTGGAGAAATGGCTAAGCAGTTAAGAGCATCTATTGTTGCTGGAGAGGACTGCGGTTTGAGTTCCAGCACCCACATTGGGTGACTCACAACCACTTGTAATTCCAACTCCAGGGAATCTGAAGCCAGAACTACATGAAATAAAGTTGTGTTGTTTACAAGGCACCTGTTTTATGATTTTTTTTATTATAGCAGCCCAAACATACTAAGAATATATCCTTAAGAATTTTTTTCTTTTTTCAAAAGGTAACATTTTCACTTAAAAAAAAAAGATTACTTTTGTTTCAAACTGCATGCCCATGTATGCACACTGAGTGTAGATGCCCTCAAGAGTCCAAAGGCATCAGATCTCCTGGAGCTGGGATTAAAGGTAGTTGTGAGCCAACAGGCATAGATGTTAGGAACTGAACTCAGGTCCTTTCATCAGCAGTATATGCTCTTAATTGCTGACCCATCTCTCCAGCACCTCCTTAAGACAATCTTTTCGTTAGCAACATAAAGAACCAGGTTTGTGATATTTTCATACATATCATTATACTTGCTCATTTTAAATCCCCATGCCACCCTCCCCTCTTAAATGTTTAAAGTTATATAACTTAATAAAGGTACAAAGATAGGACAAATGTCTCAGAATTGATCACAGATGATCTTGGAAGGATATAGTAAGGGGACTCCAGCCAGCCCGAGCATGGCAAACATAGATCCCTTATTTGGCCACTTCCTCCTCCTGAGGCTGACTACCAAGGTCCAGCTATCAAAATATTGAAGTCCAGCAATCAAAAGCCCCCTTTGGCTGCCCTAATTAACATGTCCAATCAAAATTAAACACTTGGCTTCCCCTTTTGCCTTTATAAACCACCATTTGCCTATGGGCCAAGTCTGTCTCCTCTCCATCCAGAGGCAGTCCTTTGTTGTCACACACCCCCACCCCAGCAAATACCCCCTTTCCCTCTCTCTTGTTCCTTTCCCCTTCTCCCTCATCCTCTACATCCTGTTTTTGTCTCTTATTCCCTGTCCTTTGTCCTTCTTGGGCAAATAAATCTCTTTTGTGCTGAGAACTTGGTTGTGGGGTATCCTGAGCTTACCAATCCTTACATATAGTCCCATTCATAAAGTATAACTAGCCAGCTTTCTACCAACTACATTTGGAAGCCTGAGCCCTAAGCTTCAACCTCTTTCTCAACTCAACTCTTTTTGTAGTTGTTTTGTTTTGTTTTGTTTGTTAGTTTGGTTTGAGACAGGGTCTCATTGTGTAACTGTGGCTGGTCTGGAATTTAGTATACAGATCAGAATGGCCTCAAATTCACATGGATCTGCCTGCCTCTACCTCCCACCTGCTACGATTAAAGCATCTGGCCCAATTTTTTTAAAAACACTTCAACAGCACATAACACCAACTACCATTGTACCGAACGGCCTTTTCAGCATTATCTTCATATTCAAAATGGGAAAGAACGAATGAACGAGTGAGAGCCAGGAAAGTCTGGGGTAATCTGCCAGAGACAGTTACAAATCCTCACTCCTCTTCCCACACTCACAAGTCCACCTTGCTTACAACTCTACGAAAGTCTTTCATTTATCATCCACTTTATCAGTTCACCATCAAATGTGATCTGTGATCTTCTCACTCCCTGGTTGTCAGCCTCTTCACCTCATTAGAGACAGCTCCCCAGGCTGTGCACAGAGCTCCACTGATCAGTCAAGAAAGGGTACAGAGCTCCGTCACATTATTTGGAAAGATGATCAGCTTTTGTTCTACAGATATTTCTTTTCTGTTTGTTTTTCATGTCTTCCCTCCTTCCTCCTTTCTTCCGTTCTTTTACAGTGAGGGCAGAGATGGAACCCTCAGGCATGCTGGGCAAGTGCTCTCTACCATTAAGTCATACTCCCACTCCTGATTCATTTTAAATATCTATCGTTTCCATAAAACACAATGAATATTAATACTTGGTATCTAAACCTGAGCACTTTGGAACACATTAGCTAAAATATCACAATTTCAAATATTTAAAGTAATTAGCAAGGGTGCTGGAGAGATGGCTCAGTAGTTAAGAGCATTTGCTGCTCTTTCAAAGGACCTGGGTTTAGTTCCCAGCACTCACATGGTGGCTCACAACCATCCATAACTCCAGTTCCAGGGGTCTGATGCCTTCTTCTGACCTCCAGACACCAGACACACATGTGGTGCAAATACATACGTACACGTAGGCAAAACAGTTATATACATGAGAAATAAATTTTAAAAAATTTAAATAAAATAATTAGCAATATTTTGTTCTATTTTACACTCAAAATTGAGAATCATAAGCTGGTGGGATTATTTAGTAGATAAAGCTTCTTGCCACCAAACTTGAGAAGCTGTTTTCTTTGTTTTTTAATTAAAATATAATTACGTTTGCTCCCTTCCCTCTCCTCCCTCCAACCTTCCCCATGCACCCTTGCTCCCTCAACTCTCAAATTCATGGCCTCTATTTCTTCAACTGTCTTTACATATGTATGTATATATCTTCCTAAGTACCTAAACCAACCTGTTCCGTCCATATGATGTTACTTGTATGTATATGATTTCAGGGTTGAGTACCTGGTATTAGATAACCAGTCTGGGGGCTCTTCCCTGGTGCAACTATGGAATGCTGAGATGGAGGTGACCAGGGTTTGATCTCTAGGAGTAACATGGTAGAGAGAACAACTCCTGTAGGTTCACCTTTGCATGCGTGCGCTCTCTCTCTCTCTCTCTCTCTCTCTCTCTCTCTCTCTCTCTCTCTCTCTCTTGATATCACTCCCTATGCAAGAAATACGCACCTTACAAATTCCAAGCTTTATCTTGTTCTTGTTGATATCCATCTCTTCCCAGACATCCTTTTCCTGAGGGCGAATGTGCCCCAGAGATCCAGGCAATTTATCTGGTGATACACCAACAGGGATACCATTCTCCCCATCACTAAGCTGTTCATCTGGAAACACTTCATCTGTATTTTCTCGGAGCAAGTCTCCTGGGATAGGAGTGGCATTTGCAATTCTGAAAAGAGAGGGGAGGAAAACAGAAAACTTCAAAAGACCAGAATCAAAAGTTAACATGAAACAGACTGTTCTACATTTTGTCTCTGGATTTTAAGTTTATACATAATTAAGAATTAAACAAAACCTAAAGCTTTTTTTTCTTCTTTTTGGTTCACCATGTAGCAGTGGCTATCCTGGATCTCGCTCTGTAGAACAGGCTGGCCTTGAACTCACAGAGATCCTCCTACCTCTGCCTCCTGAGTGCTGTGATTAAAAATGTGCGTCACCCCCGCCCTGCTGACAATCACTTTAAAAGTCAGAAACATGCTGGGTGGTGGTGGCTCATGCCTTTAATCCCAGCACTCGGGAGGCAGAGCCAGTTGAATCTCTGTGAGTTCAAGGCCAGCTTGTCTATAGAGCGAGATTCAGGACAGGCACCAAAACTACACAGAGAAACTCTGTCTCGGAAAAAAAAAGTCAGAAACATCTGTTCTACTTTCCATGATTCTTTCATCAATAAAATAAAAATTTCTATTCTTTAACATTTTTGTAAATAATAAAAGCAATTATACATAGGGAAATACTAAGGGCTATAAGGAAATAAATGTGATTTAGATGATTTTTTATTATGAAATGTGTACTACTGTTTCTTTTATTTTTAATATTTATTAAACTAAGACTTTTTTAATTCAGTATATTTTGATCATGTTTTTCACTCCTTCCTACCCAACCAATTTTATGTCCTTTCTCTCTCTCTTTAAAACAAACAAAAGAACAAACAACAAAAAGAAAAACCCAAAACTAAACAAAAAACCCCACAAAAACACAAACGAAAATCAAAACCAACCAGCAAAAGAGCAATAAAACAAAACAAAAAAGAAAAGAAAAAATTGCCAACAGTGAAACAAAACAATGTCTGCTGCTTTTTCATCACAGAGTTCACGAAGTTCCTACTATGCCCAAGGCGCCAGGCAAAACAAAGGAGAAAATCAGAAAGTCTGAAATTAGAGAATTCATACAGATCTACATAAGGAGAATAAAAAATATTTATAGGTATTTGTCTATATATTTCTTTCTTCCTTTCTTTCATTTGAGAGAAAGTTTTACTTTTATCCCACACTGGCATTGAGTACGGCATCTTCCTAAATCCTGGGATTACAGGAGTACACCATCATGCTTGGCTATACAGATTTCTTCTGAATGAATTCCAGGTCCTGTTTTACATAGGTGTCATCACTCAGCCTACTGGTCCAGGAGAGGCTTTTAGTTCTTAGCCATCACTAACTCAAAAGGCCTCTGGGAACTCTGTGCTCCATAAACACTAGTGCTGTTGTTGTTTCTATAATTTATTTATTTACTTATTTTTTGGCCTGCATATATATCTATGTGAGGGTGTCAGATCCCCTGGAACTGGAGTTACAGACAGTTGTGAGCTTACACGTGGTTGCTGGGAATTGAATGCAGGTCCTCTGGAAGAACAGCCAGTGCTCTTAACCACTGAGGTATCTCTCTAGCCTCAATACTAGTGTTTTTAAAAAACATTTCTGGCTGAGCACCATATTTAGCATACAAAGAAATTTCTAACAAGTAACCTGGAATGTCTGAACACAGGAAGACAGCCCTCAACGGATTGTGTTGACATACACCATTACTGTGAGCAGCCATACCCTGGTCAGCCATGGTGGTGCACACCTTTAGTCCCTACACTTGGGAAGCAGAAGCAGGCAGATCTCTGGGAGGTCAACAGAGTGAGTTCCATGACAGCCAGGGCTACATAGTGGGACCCTGTCCCCAAAATACCCCCGGAGGAAAAAAACCAAAACCACAACAAAAAAACTAAAGGTCACATATGTACACTAGCACGAATGTTCTAGGAACACTTCATTTCCTTCTGAGACCACCAATCGTTTCCCAAGGTCTTGTTCTGATTTTTTGCCCTTTGCTACTATCTCTACCTAAGTTGGTCAATTTTAAGTGATCTCTTTATCAATACTGTAGGTAAACAACCTAAAAAGTTGATTGTTCACTGAGCACGGTTCTCACAAGAAACCTTGCAGCCCAGTAAAGCGGTCCCTGTACTTCAGACTCAGGAAACAATAAAAGGTGGTTTGGCCTGAAATTGTCCAAATGTACAAACTATTAAAGATCAGAAATAAATTGAGTACTGAGAGATTTTTCAGATATGAGTTCAATATAATTTACTTATACAAGGAAAGTATACCTGGAAGGCTACTGACCATCCTTTCTTCCCGTTTTGATCCCTTAATGTTCCAAATCTTTTCCCCTTCTGCCCATCACTCTTCTCTACAGTGATTCCACTTCCTATTTCCTTTTTCTACTCCTTGGGAAATAAACTACATCTGTACCTACAAACTACTCTATTTTCACTCAATCCTAATCTTCCTTATCTGTTACACAGTATCATGTAATTCAAGGAACTCATCGCCATCTCCATCCGGGCTCTCGTCCACATGACTCAGGCTTCTCCTTTGTATTTATTCCTTATTTTTTATTCTTTCCGTATCATTTTTTCCTTTTCCCAAACTCTCTTAATCAAGAGTTTGACAAGAGAGAAACAATTCCTCACCAAGAAAATTATGGCATGTTCAGGGATATGAAGGCAAAAGGGGAGGGCGGGGGTAGCTCACTTGGTAGAGCACTTGGCCAGCACACACCAAAGCTCTGGGTTTACCCCTAAAACCTATGAAAAAGGGGGGGGGGAGGGAAGGATAAAAAGAAAAAAATTAAGAAAAGAGAGAAAGTAGGGCTAGATGGTTCAAAGGTTAAGAGCATTTGCTGATCTTGCTGAAGACCCAGGTTTGGTTCCCAGCACCCACAAATAACTTCAGTTCCAGCAGATATCACATCCTCTTCTAAACTCTGTGGGCACCAGGCCATGGAGTCTAGAACATGTAAGGCAAACACCCATAAAATAGTCATAAACCTTAAAAGAAAAAAAAAAGGAGTAAGGAAGGTAGTGACCAGTCAGTATGAGGTTATCATTAGCACATGGTCTATCCAAAGGAAAACATAAAGCAGCACGGTGGCACAGACTCAAGAGGCTGATGTAGGAAGATCCACAAGTTCAAAGCCAGTCTAGGCTACACTGTAGATAGAGTTTTCCTGCCTGGCCCACAGTCAGGACAAATCTCTCTCACCTGCCAGTCCCACAGCCGCTCAGACCCGACCAAGAAAACACAGAGACTTATATTGGTTACAAACTGTATGGCCGTGGCAGGCTTCTTGCTAACTGTTCTTACAGCTTAAATTAATCCATTTCCATAAATCTATACCTTGCCACATGGCTCGTGGCTTACCGGCATCTTCACATGCTATTTGTCATTGTGGTGGCTGGCAGTGTCTCTCTGACTCAGTCTTCCACTTCCCAGCTTTATTCTCCTCCTTGTCCCACCTACACTTCCTGCCTAGCCAATGGCCAATCAGTGTTTTATTGACTAATCAGCAACACATTTGCCATACAGAACATCCCACAGCACTACACAGTGAATTCAAAGCCAGATGGAATGCATAGTGAAACCCTGCCTTAAAAAAAATAAACTCAGCCGGGCGGTGGTGGCACACGCCTTTAATCCCAGCACTCGGGAGGCAGAGCCAGGCGGATCTCTGTGAGTTCGAGGCCAGCCTGGGCTACCAAGTGAGTTCCAGGAAAGGTGCAAAGCTACACAGAGAAACCCTGTCTCGAAAAACCAAAAAAAATAAAAATAAAAATAAACTCATCAAGCTTGGCGGTGGTGATGCGCACCTTTAATCTCAGCACTCAGGAGGCAGAGGCAGGGGGATCTCTGTGAGTTTGAGGCCAGCCTGGTCTACAAAGTGAGTTCCAGGACAGCCAGGACTGCACAGAGAAACCCTGTCTCAAAAAACCAAAATCCCAAAACAAACAAAAACTTAAAAGGAAAAGTGTCTAATATAAGTAAAAGAGAAAAACATTAAAACATGGAACTAGGGGCTGGAAAGATGGCTCAGCAATTAAAAGCACTTGTCCTTACAGAGGATCTGGGTTTGGCTCCTAGCGTCCATATGGTGGCTTAAAAATGTTTATAATTCTAGTTCCAGGGAATCTGACACCATCTTCTGACTTCTGTGGATACCCAGCATATACATCATACACACACACACACACACACACACACACACACACACACACACACACACACCTCTCTATCTATCTCTCTATCTATCTATCTATCTATCTATCTATCTATCTATCTATAGAGAGAGAAAACACCAGTACACATAAAAATAAACATTAAAAAAAAACCCACACAAATGGAAATAGCTGGACATGATGGGGCACACCAGTAATTCTGGATTCAGGAGGCTGAGGACAGAAGGATTACAAGTTCAAGGTCAGCTTGGTTATACAGCAAGACTCCTGTATCAAACACTTAAACAAACCCAGCAAATAAATAAGAAGAAAAAAGAATATAGATGGAAATATACTATACCACTTCCTAATATTCTATATAAGTTAAGTACTTTCATAAGAAAAATATGCCTACACATTTTGTTCCCATGGAGTTTAAACACAGTGCAGTTAGAAATAATTATGATTATGTTGTGTGGTGGTGGTGCATGCCTTTAATCCAGCATTTGGGAGGCAGAGGCAGGCGGATTTTTGAGTTCCAGGCCAGCCTGGTCTACAGAGTGAGTTCCAGGACAGCCAGGACTACATAGAGAAACTCTGTCTCAAACCCCAACGCCCCCCCCAAAAAAAACCCCAAGAATAATTATGACTTATTCTTTCAGGTTCCCATATATATTCTTTAGAAATACAAGTAATGTTCCTCTATTCTGAAGAAAACCCACTGTACCTCTGGTATCAACAAGTCACATTAGCTCTAAGCTCCCATTTCACAGAATGAACCATTAGTATTTTCTGAATTAAGTAATTCCAAAAGCCTAGTAAGAAAAATATTTAACTCAAGGAAATGCTCAAGGCTCTCGCACATGTCTTAGCACTTCACAATCTGAGGGGCTCAGGATGGACTGACGGGAATTCCTGCATTCAGAAAAAGCACCGCTCACTGCACTGTGTAGGACATACCCAATTGCAGCAGGGGTCAAGCGGGTGTGCAGCTGAGGGGTGGCAGAGGTGGTGGTGGTGGTTAGGGAGCCGTCCGTCCCACTCTTCTCCCAGTCAAAAGGGTCACTCTCAATCACTCCAAAGGTCTTGATGCCATTGTCAAACACGGATGCAAGAAGCTAAACCACAAAGAAGGAGACCAGAGTGAGCCAACAGGAATAGACTTACCGTTCTTCTATAGCAGAAAGCACACCAGACCCACAAAAAGGATTATAATACGATTTCCTTCAAAATTCATGGTTCAAGGAAGGAAACCAACTGGGACTATGTGGATGACAATAAGAAATTAATGTTAATTAATTAACTAATGTTGATTGTGGTACCAGTATATAGTCATATGAAACATTTTGTTTATAGAAGATATATTGGGCTGGAGAGATGGCTCAGAGGTTAAGAGCACTGACTGCTCTTCCAGAGGTCCTGAGTTCATTCCAAGCAACCACATTGGGGCTCACAACTATCTGTAATGACACCTGGTGCCCTCTTCTGGCCTGCAGGCAGAACACTGTGTACATAATAAATAAATAAAATCTTAAAAAAAAAATAAGAAGATATATTATACAGCCTTTCATTTATAATCTACTCTCAAACAGCTTGGTAAAAAGAAGTATGTACCATGATTATACATAGCCATATATATTCAGGTGAACCACTCATTTGGCTATGTATCTATCTATAAAGAAGATTTTTTAAAAAAATTTATTTATTTATCATGTATACAGCATTCTGCCTGATGTATGCCTGCATGTCAGAAGACACCAGATCTTATTATAGATGGTTGTGAGCCACCATGTGGTTGCTGGGAACTGAACTCAGGACCTCTGGAAGAGCAGCCAGTGCTCTTAACCTCTGAGCCATCTCTCCAGCCCTAAAGAGGACACTTTTGTATGGCTGAACCTAAATAAGTAACCAGTAACTATAGCTGGGATGTCCAAAAAAGAATCAAAGAAAGTCCTGTGCTGGGCAGCAGTGGTGCACGCTTTTAATCCCAGCACTATGGAGGCAGAGTCAGGAGGATCTCTGTGAGTTCAAGGCCAGCCTGGTCTACAGAACGAGATCCTGGACAGGCACCAAAACTACACAGAGAAACCCTGTCTCAAAAAACCAAAAAAAAAAAAAAAAAAGAAAAAAAAAAAGAAAAGTCCTTGTACGTTCTTTGTGTGTGTTTATGTCCTTTTAAAAATGTCTCTTTTATGTATGTGTGTTTATATAAAAAAATTGTCAAATTAATCCTTTTAGTTTGATTTGTTGTGTATATAATTCATTGTTACCCCACCACTTGTCCATAGGCACCATTTTCCATTTCCTGAGTGCAGCTCCATTCTCTACTCATCTCTCTCACTTTGCAAGTATCCTGACCTTTGGGATTCATTTTTACAGTTCCTGCTCCAGACCTGAAACCAGCACTTCTCACTGGAGCATTTTGCCCATACCTTTGAGGTTTAAAAAGATAAATCCAGCTATTAAGTGCACAGCAGATGCCAGAGACTGGGATGATAAGAGGTGGTAAGAACCAGCCAGGAGGCTACTTAAGCCTCATGGTCAGTTAAACCATCATGGTTACAGTAAACATGATAAATGATGTGGATATGATCTGGAAAAGAGCTCAAAGACCCTGTTGACAAAGCTGATGAAAACCAGGAGGGTAAGGACAGAATAAAGGCTAAGTTAGATTTCTGCCCTGAGCCACTGAATAAACTGTAGTGAAATGAATTTTTAAAGCACATTATTCAAGGCATAGAAAGGGCAATCAAAATGAGATTCTGAGTAATCTGAATTTTCTATTTCTCTAATTTCTAAATGTTTATGCATTTTTTTTTTGTTTTTTGAGACAGGGTTATGTATTATTTTCAATAACAACAAATTTAACTAAAATGTACTTTCTAAAGCAATTTGGTTCAATACCTACCCACATCAACCCACAAAGATGGTTGATGCTAGTTTCCAGCCATTATCAGACATAGACTCAATGAATTACTATTCCTCTTAGCCTTAGCACAAAAACAATCAATAACAGTGTCATTTATCTCCATATAAAATTTTAATTTGCCATTTGAAAGAAAATGGATAGGAATTATTTGTAGCATGATATATTGAATTTCACTGAGGCTCTTGATTTCTGAATTCTAATTGAATGAATGCAAACTAATAGATCAATAAAGCACTTACCCCAGAGAGTACAATACAATACTGGCTTGGCTAATGCAAAGATCATTCAATGCAAAACAGAGTGCCTCACTTCAGTGACATGTAAGTAGATGAAACAGTAAAGTAATACATGCACTGTTTGCTTCTCTGCTCTTTGAGCTATTTAGGCCATATGGGAGCAAAACTCAAAAGTTGTATTGCACCCACCCTCTGGGGAATAGACCCAGCTGGACAGAGGATAATTAATGAAAATAATTTAGGAGGATACACAGTATCAACTGTTTTTAAGGTTTCTGTTTTTAATTTTTTTTAAGTTTTTCTTCAATTTAAATTTTATGTGTATGAGCAATTGCCTGCATTTATGTACATGTAGCATGTGTTCCTGGTATCCAAGGAGGCCAGAAAAGGGCATGAGATGCCCTGGAACTAGAGTTACAGATGGTTGTGTGCTGTGGGATGTCCTTCTGTACACTGAATATATGTTGTTTCCAGTGGTTAATAAATAAGCCGCTTTGGCCTATGGCAAGGCAGCGGGAAATCCAAGGAGAGAGACAGGAAAGAGAAAGGCTGAATGGGGAGATGCCAGTCTGCCATCCTAGGAACAACATGTAATGGGATGCAAGGAAAGCTACGGAACACGTGGGGATACACAGATTAAGTTATGGGTTGAGTTAAACTATAAGAGCTAGCTAGCAAGAAGCCTGCCATAGGCCATACAGTTTATAAATAATATTAAGCCCTTGAATGATTATTTTATAAGCAGCTGAGGGACCTTGGGGCCGGGCAGGACTGGAGAAACCATCTGACTACAGTTGTGACTCACAAAGGTGCTGGAGCACAGTCTTCACCCTAGGGCACAGCATGCAGCTTGGGCATTGCTTTCTTCTATTAAGGTGGTATGCCACAGCACTATCCTCTAAGCCAGAGAGGCGGCATCTTAAGACCAGCAATGTCTGCTTAGAAATGCTCACAGCTGGGCTTGTTGACTGTTGATGCTCCTTTACAAAAGAATATCCAATATAATTCTGGAGACTATCCAGCACTCCTCTCAACTAGTTGTATGCAAATCTGTCCTAACTGCATGAAGTCTTGAGGGAAAGAGCTAGAATATATATGCTGAGAAAGACTAGGGAGAAAGAGGAAGCCGTCATCTATACAGAGTGAAGACTTTTGTCCAGTTTAGCTGCTCTCAGGCCACCCACACTTCTGTCAGTAACTTCTCCTTTGTGTGTTGTAAGTAAGTCCAATAAAATAATTCACTGGTCCCTCAGGATGAACTCTGGTGAAACAGAATTCTGGCTTGTGACTGACATTGCTTAGTCTTCTTCTCCCATGGAGAAAACTCTCACAACAGATGGGAAATTTGTTAGCTTTTATGCTTCATGGTATGGAGAAAGAAAATTGGTAAATAGAAGAAAATGTTAGAATGAAAAAAATGGAAATATTTTTAGTAAAGAAGGACTTATGTATAAAGATAGATGGCTGAATGTTTCTCCAGAATGGAAAAGAAAGCTGAGAAGAAAGGCACCACCTGCATGGTCTTAACACCCAAGATAAAAGTGTAATAAAAGTGTAACTAAACACCCAAGATAAAAGTGTAACTAAAGATTATTATGTTGCTCTAACAGTCTGAGGGGTCTCACTCCCCAGACACTAGGTGGAAACCCATGTGAAACCCACTGTTATTTTGACAACTACAGGTCACTAGTGATTCTCTCCTTGACAAAAAACTGTTGCTCAGATGGAAAACTTCAGACCCTGGCTCACTGCTGCACCTACTTACAGCCTAGAGAGACAGGCCCACTATTATTTTAATCAGAAAATCACTATCATTTAATCAGAAAATTAGACTATGGCTTAATTTCTTTCCTTTTTCTCTTTCTAGAAACAATCTGGAAGGGACTTCACATTGATTCTAGCCACTCCAACAGCTATCAAAATGCCTAAAAGCAGATCCTAGGTTCAATGTTCTGGAGACTAGCTTTGGAGTCCCAAGGAAAAAGAGGAGACATCAATCAACAGATCATCTTGTAAGCTCATCAAGAGATTCTAATGGACTTTGAAACCAGATCAGTCACTGCCCCAATTCTATAGCAGCAGCTAGGGTTACTCTAGGGGGGAGGGTAAGGAGGGGGTAAAAATAGGAGATAAAATTTGGCTAGGAAGTTTAGGGTAAAAAGACCATAAAGAAAAGTAAAGTTCTCTCTTGGATAAAAAGCCAGAAATGTGCCTGCATTTTCTTGGCAGCCCCATCTTTGCCAGAGACCAAAGACACCAGAAGGGACCCTGACCTCTGATCTAGCTCCTAAATGATTCTAGGAAAAACCTTTTCAGAGCAAGAGAGGTTGAAGCAGAAAATTGTTAAGCAAAAACTCCTTCTGAACAAGAGAATAAAGTCCTAGCCTGGGTGGAAACCTAATATTCCATTTGGGATAGGTCAATTGCCGCCCCAACGGACTACCCCTAAGACAGCAGCATCACCTTAAGCCATGTGTCAGGGGCCTCCTTCAGAGGCTCACAGAGACCATGCTCACCAAACACTCCCTGGTCACTTTCTGTCTTTAGAGACTTTAGAAGTCAGCACGTGCTGGCTGAGTTTTAAGAAAAAATATAAATAAATAAAAATGAAAATGTATAATAAAAATGAGGAATAGTAAGAAACTTTTTTTTCTATCAAAGGAGGCTAGCCTGTCAAGGACCCATATTCCATAATCTCTACCCACCCTGTAAATTCAAACTTTGTTATTGTTTTGTTTTTGTTTGTTGAGACAGTTTCTCACTGTGTAACCCTGGCTAGCCCAGAACCTGCTATGTAGGCAAGGCTGGCCCTCAATTCACAGAGATCCACCTGCCTCCACCTCCCAAGTGCTGGCATGAACCAACACACCTTGCTAAGAATTCAAATATTTTAATCTCCCCTACTGGTAAAACTTTTGTTTACCCAAGACCCTGCTGCATTACCATAACATAATGGCCCCTTCCTCCTTCCCTGCCTGCATTTTGGGCTGCTTTCCAAATTAGCCAATCAAGAGTAGATTGTGAGTGCTGAAGAGATGGCTCAGGGGTTAAGAGTACCGACTGCTCTTCCAGAGGTCCTGAGTTCAATTCCCAACAACCACATGGTGGCTCACAACCACGTGTAATGAGATCTGGTGCCCTCTTCTGGCCTGCAGGGACACATGCAGGCAGAATACTGTGTGCATAACAAACAAACAAACAAATAAATAAATAAAATCTTAAAAAAAAAGAGTAGATTGTGATGACGAACCTCAGCCAATGAGAAACAGCCAACCACTCCCTTCTATTAGTTAGGAATAAAGACAAAGTCATCTTGGTCACATGAGCTACTTGCTAGCCTGGTTTGGGTCATGCATGGCATACCCTCTTTGCAAAAAGAAATTGTTGGGTTATTTTCATTTGATTCACATGTTTCTTTGTTCAACATCAAGAGTATGTTTTTCTATCATTACTGTGTTAACTTCTTGCATGAACTGAGAAACATTCCCATGGCTCTCAGGAGCATATCTAGTAAGGTAACAAAACAAAGTACTGCTTTTTAAGGTTGAGCTCAAGCTGGGCACAGTGGCTCATACCTCTAATACTAGCACTTGGGAGAGGCAGTGGCAGGGGGAATCTCTCTGAGTTCCAGGCCAGCCTAGTCTTCATAGAGATCCTGGATATTCAGGACTACATTGAAAGAGCTTGTCTCAAAAACATAAAATTCAGCTCATGAAATTACTCCTAAATAGTAGGAAATGGGAGACTGGAGAAGTTAACATCTGGGCTTAGTTATCAACTGAGCATGATAAGTGATGTTAGGACACACAGACATTCCAGGGAAGACAGGCTGGAATAAGGGCTGGGAGTCCTATTTAACTCCATCAAGAGGGCCAACACAGCCCAATCATACAAGTACACTGGGACTGGAAGGAGGAAAGGTTAAAGGAGTAGAGACAAGAAATGACCCACTTCTCTCCAGCTCTGCTACTTACACCTAAGTCAAGGCCATTATTCTCTCTATCCTCCTGGCCACAAAAAAGACTATCCTTCCACTCCACCGCAAGTAGAACTTGACCAATGTGATTGAGGTCTGACTTGTAAGCCCCAAGTGTTACAGATCGCTCTCAGACCTGGGTAAACATCCAAACCTGCTCTTCCTCTGACTGCATAAAGCCTGTATGCACAAGAAACCACTTGAGTTGCCTAGCAAAGTCACAACACACTGACTAGTGTGCTTCACGATCAAGATATCTACATGCTCTTTAGACAACCCATTTCCCCCCTTTCTTTCCAAGGCACTGCCTCAATACCTTCCCAACTCAACTCTAAATCTCCTTTGCCTTTCTGGAATGCATGCAGCTGAAAAAGCTATTCTCTTAAAAACAAATAGGGACTTGGTAAAAACACTTGCTCAGCTGGTAAAGATACCTGCAGCAAAACATGGAAAGACTCCACATAGTAAAAGAGACCTGACTCCCACACTTTGTCCTTTGATCTACACATGCACCCTGCAGGGTATGTGCACCTCCTTACATAAAAATACGTGAATGTAAATTTCAAAAGAAACACAAATAGGCTCTGTTGCAGGATATTTGTTTACACTGTGTGACGACGAATCTATGTTTTGCCTCACCTGCCTAAGGCACCTGATTGGTTTAATAAAGAGCTGAATGGCCATTAGCGAGGCAGAACTTCCAGGCAGAGAGAGGAAATTAGGGTTAGAATCTGGCACGGCAGGAGACACCAGCGAGACAGGGACCAAGTCAGATTTACAGAACAGAAGAGAAGTAAAGAGCAATGTGGCAGAACATACATTAATAGAAACAGGTTAATTTAAGTTATAAGAGCTAGCAGAAACAAGCCTAAGCTAGGGACAAGCTTTACTAATTAATAATAAGTCTCTGTGTCATTATTTGGGGGCTAGTGGTCCAAAGAAGTCCTACTACAAGGATCACTATGTCCCTGGTTTTTTTGTTTTGTTTTGTTTGTTTTCAAGGCTTCCTGTTCACTTTAAATAAAATTCAAACTTCTTTAAAAAAGTGTATAAAGCCCTGCAGCATTTGGTCTGTTTCTCCAACTTCAGCTCAAACCATTTACTCCTTTTGTGATAGTAAGCTCCCTTGTTTTATTTCAATTCCTTACCTCAGGAGGTAGGCACATGCTCTTGCATCTGCTCATAACATTCTTTCTCTTAATTTTCTTTTTTTATTTTTTTTAACTTGATTTGCATTGGTGTGAAGGTGTCAGATTCCCAGGAACTGGAGTTACAGTTATGAGCTGCCACGTGGGTGCCGGAAATTGAACTCAGGACCTCTGGAAGAGCAGCCAGTGCTCTTAACTGCTGAGCCATCTCTCCAACTCTTTTCTTTTTTTTCTTTTTCTTTTTCTTTTTTTTTTTTTTTTTTTTTTTTTTGGTTTTTTCGAGACAGAGTTTCTCTGTGTAGCTTTGCGCCTTTCCTAGAACTGACTTCGGAGACCAGGCTGGCCTCGAACTCACAGAGATCCACCTGAGTGCTGGGATTAAAGGCATGCGCCACCACCGCCCAGCAAGCTCAGACCTTCTTGAACACTGATATCATATTTACACCAGTCACAAAAATACTCCAATCAATATCAACATTTCCCCCGACTTATCCTCTCCGTCACCTGTTCTCTCCCACTCATTGTTTACGAAAGATCAGAGAGCAAAAAAAATCAGATTATTTATGGTGTATAAAACACAGAAAGCATCATGCTTACTTCATCCTTCCCCAAATAGTAAATAGCCATACTTTGTTCTATTACTAAGTGATAGAGATGACCCTTAGAGAGTATCAAAATGAAAATCTTGAATAGCAATTTAGTTAGACTATTCAAATATTAGATGGTATATGGTAGTCTTTTTTAGATTATAAGAATAACTAAGAGGCAAATGTGAACAAAATCCCAAGGATTTTGTATGAATAAAAAATTATTAGTACCCAGCCAGGGGTGGGGGTGGAGGATGGGGGGGTGAGGGGTGAGGGTGTTGGCACATGCCTTTAATCCTAACTAAAACATAAGGAATTCAACAGCCTTTTCTGACTTCTGCAGATACCAGGCACAGACACAGACATACATGCAGGCAAAACATGCATTCTATATTAAATAAATAAATAAATAAATAAATAAATAAATAAATAAATAAATGAATGAATGAATGAATGAACATTTTTTAAAAGGGGCACTTTTGCTTGGCATAGTGGCAACAGTCTAATCCCAGCACTTTGGAAGGCTGAGGCAGGAGAACTGCAAATCTGAAGCCAACCTGAACTACATAGTTAAGATTCTGTCTCAAAAACAAACACACACAAAAAAACAACACTGAAATAACTCAAATCCAATGTTACATTTTATTAGACAATCTGTGTGGAGCTTATTATATCAATAAGCACATGGGAAAGAAGACAAGTTCACTCACTTAGGTCTCTCAGACCCAAGGTTTGTGAACTCCGCTTTATATCCTGCCCATACCCTAAACATCAGCTATAATTACTATATGAAAATGAATTCACTTTGAGATAGGCATGGGCACTGACAACATTTTAGAATTTTAAACTTCCATTATTTGCCAGGCAGTGGTGGCGCACACCTTTAGTCTCAGCTCTCTGGGAGGCAGAGGCAGGCAGAGCTCTGTGAGTTCAAGGTCTACAGACTAGTTCCAGGACAGCTAAGGCTATTACACAGTGAAACCCTGTCTCAAAAAAACAAAACAAAAAAAACTTCCATTAGTGAGCAGCAAAGTCCACTGGAGATAAAATTATATGCTATCTGTGGGGCTGCATTCATGTTTTCAGTAGAACAATTGTTTTTGCATTAAGCATTGACCAGGTTCTCTCTGTGAGTAATACAATTTGAGGCAAACCTAGCTGATCACTGAAAGGCTCATTAACTGCTACACTACAGAATTAATTCAGTGGCCACAGACAGAGTCAGTAACATTTACTGACTGCCAGCCAACAGCATGGACAGCCCTCAACAGATATATTACCTAGCTGTAGAGTTCCTTCTGGTGAAGAAACTGCTATAAAATTTACTTAATTAGAATTATCATGCTCTATATATCAGTGGTTCTCAACCTTCCTAATACTGCAACCCTTTAATACAGTTCCTCATGTTGTGGTGACCCCTAAACATAAAATTATTTTCATTGCTACTTCATAACTGTAATTTTGCTACTATTAAGAATCATAACATAAATATCTGTGTTTTCCAATGGTCTTAGATGACCCCTGTGAAAGAGTCATTTGACCCCCAGGTTGAGAACCGCTGCTCTATATATTAAATAAATCACGTCAAGAACAGAAAAATTTGTTACATAATAAGTCTAACTATTAAATAAATTCATCTAAAAGACTCTGACTCTCATTCTCTCTCTCACACATATACGCACACCCCACATCATCATCATGTTAACTTCACATTTCTCAGACTGTATTAAAATAATGTTACTCTAGGCACCTTCCAGACTTAATTCTGATATTCTTAAATCTACAATGAGTAAAAGCAAAAACTAAAAAAAAGGAAGATCAACATACAGAACTCACAAAGATGGTTACCTGGTAGTCTGGTTTTGTAAAATAATCCAAAGAGGAAATATGGTCAAGAAAGGTGCTGAATTCAGGAGGGAGGTGTTTCAACATGAGCCTATGGTCATACCTCTCCTTAATGGAACCCACTTGCTCCTGGAAGGTAAAGAGAGCAGGAACCAAAGTCAGCTTCTCTTGGAAGCTTTGATTACAAGCCCACAGCTAACAATCTCAAGAGAATGTAGCAGGCTACGGAATGAAAGTAATAAAAGTACAAAGCAAGGGTAAGCGCTCGCTCCCTAGTGGCTTTACACACAGTGCTTCCCAGTGGGAAGTGAAGCTAATATAATGGAGAGCTAACAGAGTGATGTGGCGGGCTGCACCAGTGAACTGACAACCCCTGAGTTCTTTAAACTGGGTTATTTTCCTTTATGAACACAGTATTTATAGTTTTCCAAACAAAATAATCTGATAACTAAAAACTAAGAGCTATAATTCCCATCAGAAGAAATGCTGTTCTTATCAAATGTATCTCTTCTCAATATACATAGAAAAAAATCATAGTATTATATAATATCAGCTCACAGAGAAAAATACACATTGGCCGGGCGGTGGTGGCGCAGGCCTTTAATCCCAGCACTCGGGAGGCAGAGGCAGGCGGATCTCTGTGAGTTCGAGGCCAGCCTGGTCTACAGAGCGAGATCCAGGAAAGGCGCAAAGCTACACAGAGAAACCCTGTCTCAAATAAAAACCAAAAAAAAAAAAAAAAAAGAAAAATACACATTGTAATGCAGTGAAGTTGCTTAAAGATTTTAAGTTTCATATGTAAGTGGATTTTCTTTTTTAAAAATTTGAAATAGAGTTTACAACTAAACTGATACTCAAATACAAAAATTATACACCTATGAGAGGGATTATGTGATTTTTTTTTTCTTTTCACTTACTATTTTTTGTGGTGCTAGAAATTGAGTCCGGTGATTTACACATGCTAGGGATGCACTGTACCACTGAATGATATGCACATCTGTTCTACATCATATCTTAGTCCAGTGACTTACACATGCTAAGGAGGCACTGTACCACTGAATGATAAGCACATCTGTTCTACATGATATTTCAATCCATGAAGATATTATACAAAATGCTTACTGAGAAGAATTTTTGTTTGTTTGTTTGTTTGTTTTGGTTTTGGTTTTGGTTTTTGGTTTTTCTGGACAGAGTTTCTCTGTGTAACCCTGGCTGTCCTGGAACCCACAAGGCATCTGCCTGTCTCTGCCTTCCAAGTGCTAGAATTAAAGTGTGTACTACCACCACTCAGTTTGAAGAGAAATTTTTATTCTTTCCCCTATCAAAATTTACATTATAATTCAAAATTACCTTGTCCTTTATTTTTCTCCAAGGCAGTTGACCAACCACAAACTCTACCAACATGTAGAATAAGGACCAAAGGTCATCGTGTCTTCCCATTTCCTTGAGAAATAAGAGAATTCAGTCATATTACATTACCAGTTATTATGGGTGTATCACATTGTTTAAAGATCACTAATTTCTCATAAATCATCTGGTAAACATCTATATGTTGCATAGTTACATATCAATCCATATGCAGAATATATATACTGAGAAATGTTTTGATATAAATAATACCTTACCTGGAGATATAGTTCAGCAGTAGAGTTCACTGAGTGTGTGTAAGACCCTGGGTTATATTCTTAACACCACAAAAAACAGCCACCACCGAAAAGCAAAAACAACAGAGCTGGGAATACAGTCCAGTTGGTAGAGTAACTGCCTAGCATGCATAAGGCCCTGGGTCTGATACCCAGTACCACATAAACTGGGTGTAGTAGTGCATGCCAGTAATCCCAGGACATGGGAGGGAGAAGCAGGGGGACCAGAAGTCCAAGGCCATTCTTGCTACTTAGCAAGTTTGAAGCTAGCCTGGGACATAAGAGATTCTATCTTAAAAATCAACCAATAAATAAAATAAACCTCTAAAACTCAGAAATGCTGAAAATACAATTAATTTACTAATTAACTCATGCTTTAAGAAGTAAGGGATGAGACTGTAACTCAATGGTAGTCTACTCGCTTACTAGGAAAAAGGCCCTAGATTATACTCTCAGCACAGAAAATTTTCTTCATACACACACACACACACACACACACACTGGTTTTTTTATTTTGTTTTCTAAACAGGGTCCTTTATTTCAACTTTTTAATGTTGCAAATAAAAGAATCCACACTCAAATTAATGAGACCCAACAACAACTCTTAAAATTAAGAGTAGCCCTAAGTCTTTTCATTCTTTCAGTTAGACACAAGGACACTGGGATGTCTGGCTTGGACTCTTTCCTGCTTTGTTGCAGTGTGGGGTTTAAACCAGGTCTTCCCATGCTAGTCACGAGCTTTCCCGCTGAGCCACATCTCCAGGTCCCTGGTTACAAAAACTACAAAAGTTATTACATATTATAGAGAAGACAATCTCTATGTTCCATCAGATAGTGACAGTATAATGTCCACTATTAATGGCTTTTATTATATTTGTTTGGGGTATGTGTGTGTACACATGTGGGTCCTCATGTGCCATGGTGAACATGTAGAGATCAGAGGACAATTTGCCAGAGTTAGTTCTCTTCTTCCACTATGTGGGTTCCAAGGATCAAACTCGGATTGTCAGGCTAGGAAGTTATGTATCTTTATCTGCTGAGCCATTACGCTGGCCCCAACCCACAAATCATTTCTTAGAATAGAATCTAGGTATTTTATTTCTTCAAACATCTATATTTAATTTTCAACACTAACACGTAATTAAACAGATACCCAACAGACATACTTAGTTGTTGCCTTTTATGGCAAATACAACTTCATTTTTTATGCAGTTGCCCATATCTGTCATGCACTATACATCTTATCATGAATTAGTATCATGAATTCCTTTACCATCAGCATTATACAAAACAGTGAATTAAAACAACCATTCAGATAAATGTGTAGCTATAAAAGGGACCCTCAGCTCCTGAGCACTTTGTATACCTCTGAACTGAAATATGAAGATTATCAGTCTGATGCAAGCCATGAACACGCAGTTATGACAGCCGTGGATCAGATACATACCCTGTTCCGATGAGCATTGATGGATGCATAACGAACTGTCCCTCGAAAGCCTGCCACAGCACGAGGCTACAATAAACCACACAATCATAAGAAATTAAATAGCAAAAAATGTAACACAACTGAACACAGAAAGCAAATGGTAGAGCAATTCTATCATAATAAAACACTATTGCTGGGCGGTGGTGGCACAGGTCTGTAATCCCAGTACTCGGGAGGCAGAGGCAGGAGGATCTCTGTGAGTTCGAGGCCAGCCTGGTCTACAGAGCTAGTCCAGGACAGGCTCCAAATCTACAGAGAAACACTGTCTCGAAAAACCAAAAATAAAATAAAATAAAATAAAATAAAACACTATTTATACAAAAAAAAAAAAAAAAAGCCGGGCGGTGGTGGCGCACGCCTTTAATCCCAGCACTCGGGAGGCAGAGCCAGGCGGATCTCTGTGAGTTCGAGGCCAGCCTGGGCTACCAAATGAGTCCCAGGAAAGGCGCAAAGCTACACAGAGAAACCCTGTCTCGAAAAACCAAAAAAAAAAAAAAAAAAAAAAAAACCACTATTTATAGTAATGTTTTTAGTGAGATTATAGAAAACTAGAGAATGAATATCTCTAAACCACAACTTAAAACACTAATATTGTAATTATTTTGGTCCTGTTTTCTTCTATCTGTATCCTTAATTTTTATTTATTTATTAATTTGTTTCTGTGTGTGTGTGTGTGATGTCAGGATGTGGAATGATGAATGCTACAGTGTGCATGTGGATGCTAGAAGACAAACTTTGGGAATTGATTTTTTTTCTTCCACCATATGGGTCCTGAGGATTGAACTCAAGTCATCAAGCTTGGTGACAAGTGCCTTTATCTGCTGAGCTATCTCACAGGCTCATCTACCTACATTTTAAAGTATGATGACATAATGGGCATTGGGCTTGGGAGATGTAGCTCAGGGATAGCACAAATGCCTACTATGTGCAAGGCTTTGGGTTTGATACCAAGGAACACACACATACAAACACACACCAAATGTGTTTATGAAATACAGATCTGTACATTAGAAAAATCAAACGTTTTCATTGACCCAGAATCATGCCAAGTACCAAAGCATCATACCATACACATTAATGCTTAGGCTCTGGTTACAAATACATTTAAGAACATGAAGAACCATTATATAATCTAAGATGCCAATCTTACCATATTTTGTCTATTTTTTTTTGTTTTTTGTTTTTCGAGACAGGGTTTCTCTGTAGTTTTGCGCCTTTCCTGGAACTCACTTTGTAGACCAGGCTGGCCTCGAACTCACAGAGATCCTCCTGCCTCTGCCTCCCGAGTGCTGGGATTAAAGGCGTGCGCCACCACCGCCCGGCTATATTTTGTCTATTTTATTCAAACTTAATTTGAAAGAGGTTACAACTATACTTACTTGCATAAGTAATTTATGTTAAAATTTAAGTTTTTGGATACTTAGTTATGCTAGGTAATGGAGATGAAGCCAGACATGATCACAGCCTCAGACAATATAACCCCAAATAAAGTCCACATTAAAAGACGTTCTATAGCTTGCCTTCCCATAATGAATCTACTATAGTTGCTTCTATCATTAATTTTTTTTTCTCTAGCTCAAAACTTTACACTTGCTATTCTTCAGGCTGTTACCTCACCGCATGCTTCCTGTGGCTAACTCTTGTAACTAAAACCTCTGCTTCGAGCACCTCCTCAGAAGCACTAATCGTCTGAATGAAGACCACCACCCCTTGCCTGCAGCGCACTGTGTTCTTTCACAGATGCCATGTTTTTAGAATGGTTTTTACAAGCCCAAGTCAGTTTTATTTGCATTTTTATCATCTATTTTGTTTACATTGTATTTACTGGCTGTTTTCACTCCATATGATACATTCTGGGAGAAAGTCTTGCTCGTTTTATAAACACGGAAATAATCAATCAAATATAAAATATAGAAGAAAACATGATCAGCCAGGTGGTGGTGACACACAACTTTAGTCCCAGCACTCGGGAGGCAGAGGCAGGTGGATCTCTGTGAGTTTGAGGCCAGCCTGGGCTACAAAGTGAGTTCCAGGACAGTGAAGACTGTTACACAGAAAAACCCTGTCTCGAAAAACCAAAAAAAAAGAAAAGAAAAGACAACAGAAAAGACCAGGCAAAAGAACAATTATCACTCAAGAGCCCAAGCCTAAGGATCCATGGCATAGAAGAAAGAGCTATGACAATTATGCTAAAAATATTATGGGAATCTATTCAATAAAATTATAGCCAAGAATTTCATAAACCTAAAGAAATAGACACCTAAACACAAGAAGTATTATGAACTCCAAATAGACATGACCAGAGAAGAGCCTGTCCTGGCATGTCACAGTCAAGATGTCAAAAATACAGAGCATGTGTTCAGCTGTGGTTCTGTGTGATGTCTTCATCTGCTGTAGAGACGCGTCTTTGATGAGGGGTGGGAGCTACACTATCTGTGGGTAAAAGGATAAGATTCAGAGTGCAGTAAGGAATTCCTTTTTCTTTCTTTTTTGGGGGGAGCGTGGGGGGTCTTAAAGACAGGGTTTTTCTGTGTAGCCCTGGCTGTCCTAGAACTTACTCTGAAGACCAGGCTGGCCTCTAATTCATCAAGATCTGCTTGGAGAGTGCTGAGATTACCTGGCTAGTAGGTTCTTTTTTTAAAAATTCACAACCTCACTAGCCCCAGGAAACTGACTAGGTTTCCAGTATCAGGCATGCTTTCCCTCCTGTTCAATTAGGCAGTTGTTGGTTGGCACTGACATGTTGAGTGCCAGTTCTTACATTTTTACACATATCTTGCCTTGCTGGTAATTGTCATGGTTCAAGGTGCTGCAGCTGAGTAGGACTGTTTTTTTTTTTTTTTTTTTAAATTAAAGATTTATTTATTTATTATGTATAGTGTTCTGTCTGCACGTATCTCTGCAGGCCAAAAGAGGGCACCAGATCTCATTACAGATGGTTGTGAGCCACCATGTGGTTGCTGGAAATTGAACTCAGGACCTTTGGAAGAGCAAGCAGTGCTCTTAACCTCTGAGCCACCTCTCCAGCCCGTGTAGGACTGTTTTATTGCTTTCCTCCCTTGGCAGTTGACACCAGAGATCAACAGATTGTGAGAATCCCAGCTCCACTGGATACATCTATATCACAGCTCCTGCAACTATGGCTCAGGGAGCATCATAGAAGAATAAGAATACAAGGAAGTCTGCTATGAAACAGTCTTATAGAAACAGCTATATAAACAGCACTGGAACAATAGCAATGTCAGTGGATATATTAATGTGGAATGGGATATTTCACAGGATCCCACCCCTAGACAAAGAACTATAGGTAACTACTGACTGCTGAGGGAAGAACTAGCCTTTCCCAGGGATGAGCACCCTTATTGGTTGTCCAATGTAGAGTGGTAAGCCTTGAAACCATACAGACACAAACAACAACAAACTCAACAGGTTGTATTTATATTTATGCATACAAATACATATATATGGGCTAGAGAAATGGCTCCATGGTTAAGAGCACTGGCTGCTCTTCCAGAGAATCTAGGTTCAATTCCCAGCAGTCACATGGCAGCTCACAACTGTTTGTTAGTCCAGTTCCAGGAGACCTGACACCCTCATTCAGACACACATGCAGGCAAGACACCAAGGCACATAAAATAAAAAGAAATCTTAAATAAATAAATAAAATGTTAAAAAAAAATGTGTGTGTGTGTGTGTGTGTGTGTGTGTGTACGTGTACGTAACAAATATAATCAAAGGAAAAGAGGCTATCTCAAGGCAATCCTTGAGTTGGGGGTCATGGCAGGGGTTCAAGAGAGAGTAGCTGGCAGGGAGAGAGGAAAGAAAGAGGAGAAGTGAAGTAATTCTATTTCAATTAAAAAACATTTTTTAAAATTTGTTAAAAAAAAATACAAACCAAAGAAACATTACTAAAAGCTGTAATGAAAAATGCCAACTAACAAACAGAGGCAGAAACATCAGAATAACATCCAAAATATTCAAAGTGCTAAAAGCAAACATAGAAGAAACACTTCAGGATATAGGTATGAGCAAAGATTTCTGAATAGAATCCTAATAACACAAGAAACAGCCTCAAGCAAATGAGATTATATGAAATCAAAAGGTTTCTGCATAGTAAAGGAAACTATCAACAGAATGAACAGACAGCCCACAGAGTGGGAGAAAAACCTTTGCCAGCTATACTTCAGACAAAAGGCTAATATCCAGAATACATAAAGAACTGCAAAAAAGTAAATGCCAAAAACCCCTACTTGCCAATCAATAAAGGGGGCAATGATCAATAAATGGGGCAATACTCTGAACAGATGGCTTGCAAAAGAACTATAAATGGCAACAAGTATTCTAAAAAGCATTCAACATGGGGCTGGAGAGATGGCTCAGCACTTAAGAACACTGGTTGCTCTTACAGAGGATCTGGGTTCAATTCCCAAAACCCACATGTCTGTTCAAAGATGTCTGTAATTCCAGTTCCAGAGAATCTAATGCCTTCTTCTGGCCTTTGTGGTCATAAGGCAGACATGTGGTGTACATAATGCAGGCAAAACATCCATACAAATAAAATAAAAATTAAAGCTATGTTTTTAAAGTACATCTATAGCAATCAGAGAAATTCAAATTAAAAAGATTTTGAGGTTCTATCTCACCTCAGTAAGAATGGCCACCATCAAGAAAACCAGAGACAACAAATGATGGCAAGTGTGTGGGGAAGAGGAGTCCTTATCTGCTGGTGGTGGAAATAGAAACTATCTTTACAGTCACTACAGAAATCAGAGGACAAGCGTCCCAAAAAACTAAAATTACAACTACCATATGACTCAGCTAATTCACTGCTAGGCATATATCCAGAGGACTCTTTTTTTTTTTTTTTTTTTTTTGGCTTTTCGAGACAGGGTTTCTCTGTGTAGCTTTGCGCCTTTCCTGGGACTCACTTGGTAGCCCAGGCTGGCCTCGAACTCACAGAGATCCGCCTGGCTCTGCCTCCCGAGTGCTGGGATTAAAGGCGTGCGCCACCACCGCCCGGCTTAGAG